GCACCGTCACCGCACGTGCCGCGCCATCTCCGCGGCGACGCGGGCCACTCTGCACCCCCGTACAGCGCCCCCCCCGCCGGGCGGGGGCCTACCACCGCTCCCTCCCCGCCCCAGGTGGAGGCGCCCCGCCGTGCCCGCCCGGCTGGCGCTTCCGGGGACCCCGCTGCGGCCGCTGCGCCCTGCGCCCCGCGGCTCCGACAGCGCCCCGCCCCGCGCCGCCCGGCCCGGGCGCTTTAAAGCAACCGCGGCCCCCGCCCCCCTTCGTCCGTCAAGGCGCTCATCTCTGGGCAACCGGCTGTGGCCAGGGACGACCTGGTGGCCCGGGAAACGCCTGGGCTTCAGAGCTTCACAGAAATCGTCGAGCCTCTCTGGGCCTCAGTTTTTCATCCGGAAACTGGTGATGATTCCACCACTTGCTGGTTAGGGCATTAACTTAACTTGACCGCGTTAGGTAGGCTCTGCGCGTGCCACCTCTCCACAAGCTTCCCTCAGGTGCGACCTGGAGGCATTAGAGTTCGCCACCCCCTTGACACAGGTTCTCCTTCCTTCTGCCCCCACGTGGGACCGGGGGATGCCCAGCACCTGCCTGTGTGACCAGGCTGAGGCTGGAGAGGCCCTCTGCCTGACTCTGTGTCTGACCGAGGCATCCTCCACCTCCACTCCCAACCCCTGTCCCTGCACACCAGGGCTCTGACATCTTAGGGCCAGGGCCAGGACCGCCCCCATTTCCAGTCGGGCCTGCGGGTTCTTGAGACAGCTCCAGTCTGGCCGCAGCTCTGCTTGGCCAGGGCCAGGTCTAGGGCCCTGCAGCTGGGACCACTGCAGTACCTGGACATCCAGGGAGCTAAGTTCCAGCATTCAACTATTCCACGATTTTCAATAGACTTTTAAAAATTTTAAATAGGGGGCGCCTGGGTGGCTCAGTGGGTTAAGCCGCTGCCTCCGGCTCAGGTCATGATCTCAGAGTCCTGGGATCGAGTCCCGTGTCGGGCTCTCTGCTAGGCAGGGAGACTGCTTCCCTCTCTCTCTCTCTCTCTCTCTCTCTCTCTCTCTACCTGCCTCTCCATCTACTTGTGATCTCTCTCTGTCAAATAAATAAATTAAATAAAAAATAAATAAATTAAAAAATTTTAAATAGAAGTACTATTTTGTTCTTTCAATTGAAGTTCAAATAGTAGAATCTCATGCTTGTCATTCAGGGTATGAAGCTGACCACCTGTTAGGCCCAAGCTTGATTCTCTCTTTTTTTAAGGGGGTGGGGGAGGGGCAGCGGGAGACAGACAGATTCCCCACTGAGCAAGGAGCCCCACACCAGGACCCTGAGATCATGACCTGAGCCCAAAACCAAGTTGGAGGCTTAACTGACTAAGCCACCCAGGTGCCCCGAAGCATTTTTCTTTCAAGCATGAAAGTTCCTCCGGCCCAGGGCTAGTCACCCAGGCTTTGGAGAGCCAAACCCTCATTTATCCTTCATTATTTCCAGTCTCTGAGCCCAGCTCCTCTCAGCCTCCTTGCTTCTCTCTTTCAGTGTCCTCAGTAAGGGGGTCGGGCAGTAGGGGCTCAAGGAGCCTTTCAGCCCACCTCCTTTGGCTCATGGATACAAGATGGTATTCGGGCCAGGGGTCATGAACAGGCTGAGACTCCATGCCCAGGAATTTGGAGTGTACCCTATTCCTTTCTTCCCCATCTCCCCACACACCTCTGGGGTCTCTGCGCTGAGCAGGAGAGCAAGGGTAAGGCAGCCTGGCTTTTGTCCAAAAGAGTCCAAGATCCCCGAGTAAGAGCACAAAGGGACTGGAGGCAAAAGGTAGAGGAAAGCTAGGTTATTCGGGGGCTGGATTTCACATTCAGTACCCATGGCCCTGTAGCCAGGTCTGCAGGTCTTGGGGGGGGGCCACATAGGTCTCTGGTGACTTCCACCTTTCAGTGCCCAGATGCCCTGAGCCTTGTGCAGGTCACCTGGCTTATCTAAGGCCTCCCACCCCACTCAGTGTGCACTTCCTGGCAAGAGTCTACACTGGGGACCTTCTTGCCTCCTTTCCCCTTTGGACGGGGTCTGGGTCTGATAAGTTAACGGCAGCTAATGGCTTTAGCTGGTAAGTGGTGGAGGCAGCACTCATTCTGTCTCAAGTCAGGAGGAGGGGGCTCAGGGCGCTGTAATCTCTGCTTCCCTGGAAAAAGGACCTGAGAACCTGGCTGGGCCTGAGTAGGGCCGGGGGGAGGGAGGGTGCTCCGACCAGGAGACAGAGGGTCTGAGTCCGTGTCGGAGGGCTGAAGAAGTCACAGGAGCTCCTATGGTTGCCTGGCATCTGCCCATGACCTGGAAGCAGGTTCTAGTGGAGGCGAGGGGAGTGCTATTCTAGAGCCAATGCTCGCTGACGTGGAGCCGGCGACAGGAACAGAGCCAGTGTCCACTGGGCCATCTGGTCCCAACTCTTTGCAAGGGTCTTTACATCATTCACTCTTCATCCTCACCAGACCACTATCGAGGAGGTACCATTTGTTGTCCTCTGGTTACACTGGAGGAAACAGAAGCCCGGGGGTGTGGTCATGTGTCCCAGGTCCCACAGATGTACACGGCGGGGCCGGGATTTGCCCTCAAGTCTGATTCCAGCCCATTCTCCAGGCCCTGTGCTCCACTGCCTCCTCCACTCTGGCGGACTGTGAGCAAGAGCTGTGTCCACAGTTGAGAACAAGCCAAGGGCCCTGGGTCTGGGTCAGTGGTGTCCCGGAGCTGGCTCTTCGGTGGCCTCAGAGAGCCAGCTATACACAGCTAGCTTTCCAAAATCTCACATAGTGACATCAGGATGGTAGCCTGAAATGGGCCATGGTGGGAGTATTTACACCACGGAAACTGGCAAGTGCCACCTCTCAGGGCTCTTTTTCCTGAGAGACGACTGGGCTGGGTCCAGCAGTGAACACCAGCCCCCGGGTCAGCTGTGGACGCACTAAGCAGCGCGACAAAGGAACACGCTAAATCTGGACACGTCTGAGCTGCATCCAGGCCTTCTCCCCAAGGGATCCAGGCTTTCCAGGTTGTTCTGGGAAGGGGCTTCTAGCCCCAGGACGAAGCTGGAGCAACAGAAAAGGCTGGCTTGGTGCTCAGTCCTGGCCCTGCTGTTGACTGAGCACGGAATTCAGGCAGATGTTCCAGCAGATAACAACCTCTCAGCACTGAGATTAATCAATCAGCACTGACCTCGCTGTGCCTTCATGAGGATCCGGTGACACAGAGTCATCGGGCTTGGGAAAGTAAGCTGTGCCAGCCGAGACACGTTTGGTCCTTTTCTAACCCGCCCAGACTTGGTGTTTTCCATGCCTTGAAGATATGCATGAGCCCCTCCCCACCCCCTCCAGCCACTCTGGTCCCCAGAGGCCGCCCCCACTTCACAGAGAGGCTACTCCTCTCCTCCCCCATCTACTGCCAACACCTCTCACATCTTTTGGACCCTTAGCGTCACTCCTCACAACAGAAGACCCCTGGCGGGATGGGGCCTCTGGCGAGTACAATGGAAGCTGCTACAATGCTGGGCCACACGGCTGCCTCAGGAGCAGACAACTGTTCCTCTCTCGTGCTCCTTGCCCCCCTGCATGGCGAGTTATAAGAGAAAAAGTAAGGTCCAGCTTCCTACTTATTTTGGAATAAGTTAAAATAAATTAAAAGAACAACCAACATTACTCAAGCAACCTTGTAGGTGGGAGGGCCCAAATGTCCCCTGGGGTAACGAGGCTCACCTGCCCAGCCAGGGCCTCGGACACAGACACAGTGGAATGGTTCCTGCACTCAAAACATTCCTGTCTTCTCTCTGGGAACCCAAAGGAAAGTCAGATTCCATTAAGGACAAGAAGAACACCATGGCATTCAAAATAAGAGCTATTTATTACAAAAGTAAACAGCCTCTGATTATCCGTGGAAACTTTTTAAAAAATATATAAAATTGTGGCTCAAAAAGCTGGCTGGAGTTTGCGCTAACAAACATCTTCTTCCTCCACCAGCAAGTCTGTAGGGCACGTGACATTTCCATGAATTCCTGGGCCCCAGAGCCCACATTCAGAGCTCCACCTTGATCGCCCATCCCCAGTGTCTGCCACCAACCGAACCTGAGCACGGAAGCTGCATCAGCCCATACGGCCTTGTCCACAGAGAATGTCTGCCAGTCTGGGCTAAGAGGAAGAGGAGGGAGTAAGCCAACAATTCTTCTCTCATCCTTGGAAAGCAGTAGAAGAGAAGAGGAGCCCCTTGTCCCCAGTGTGGCCAAACTAGGAGGGAGCCATGGGCAGGAAGCTTTCTCCTTCCTCGCCCTCACTCAGAGTGGCTGTCTCTCTGGTTCCTCGGAGTTCCTCCCTTCCAACCAGCTCCTAGTAGGAAATAAGAAGGTACAAGGGGACCTCGGTCCCCTCCCAGTTGTCGTGGGGCCACGGTTCTTGGCTGAGGGGCAAGGACAGACTCCCACTTTCTCCCTCCAGGAGAACCCACCCGGATGGCTGCCCCGCCCAGCTCAGGAGACACCAACTCCACCCATGGAAGGAGAGACAGTGGTGCAATGCGGTGGAAGGGGTGAGCAGAGCTTCTTCATCCCTGCTTTCCTCCCCTTCCAGAAACACAATTAAGCCCACAGCCCAGACTCAGCACACAGGCAGCACTTCCTGCCAGGGGAAGTCAAAAGGGCTGCAGCCCTGGGAGAGGGAGGTCATCACACCCCAGATCTAATTAACAAACCTGCCTTGCTTTTGACATTGCTGCATTTCCTCTATTAACATTAATGATGGCTGGTCGGAACGGCTAAGGATGGCCAGAAGCATCCCTCCCCATGCCCAGTAGGTAGCACAGCCTGTCCCTGGGCCCAATTTCCAGTCTCCGTGGCAACCGCCTCCGGAAGATGCTCTAAAGAGCTCTGACCCTGTCAGAATCGGTGGGGGTACAGAGGAGGGAGGATGAAGTGTGGCAGAGCCTCATCATTAAACCGGGAAGCATCACAGTCCTCTGAGACAAAATACTCTGTCACGCACCGGCGGGAGGGAGGTGGCTGAAGCATGGGCCTGGGCCTGGTGCGGTTCTGACCCAAGGGCTTTCTTAATCTCTTCCATTTGGGGAGGAAGTGAAAGGAACAGCTCTGAGCTTCTTGTTTGGGCTTTTAAGTGGTAGAAAGTAGAAGCTTTGCTGCATTTCTAGGTGCTCTGGGTCTTTGGGAGAAAGAGATCGGTGAAATGGTGACAGAGAGAGGGAAATGAAATGTATCCAGGGCAGCAGGGAAGACTAGAGAAGTGGGGAACATCTCATGAGTGACAGGAGCAGCAACCCAGATGGGCTGGGGCAGCCCACTGGGACCCCAGCGTGGCACCACAGATCCCCGCCCTGCTGCTCACCAGCCTTGGCTGCTAAGGGGCCCCCGAGGTTCTCCCAACCATGGGGAGAATGCATCTGTGCCACCTCGTAGCCAGGCTGGATGCGGAGGGAGAAGGACGGACAGCAGGAACCACCTCCGGCACACAGGGCCTGGGGACACAGAGCAGCCAAGGATAGGACGCCATTCCTCCCACCAGTCATCCAGAGCCCGGTCCTCTGTGCACACTGCAGGCAGGAAGTGCAGGCACCTGCTGCCCCAGGGACTGGCCGGCAGTTCCCCCTGGGAAGCAGCTGGGAGGCCGGCCCTCCAGCTCAGGGGCGCTCAGTTCTGTTTGTTTGTGGGGAGAAGGTAGCACGGCTTTGACAGCCCCATCTCTCTGTCCTTGGTGATATCCCAAAGTGGGGCCCGTGAGCTCAGCCTTCTTGGAGGTCAGAATTTTTGGTGGCTCTTTTTTTCAAACTAAATCCAGTGTGAAAGAAATACCAGAAAATACTACCATAGCCCTGGACTATTTCTTACAGTTTATGACACTCAGCTGTCCACAGTCACGGTCCGGTCCGTATTCCACAGGTTTATGGACAAATGAACCCTCCCACTCCCACACACTCACCCCCACTCTCTCACACACTCATCCTTCCTTATGTTGCACACTCGGGGAATCGGGCCTGAGAGATGGCCTCTGTTGCTGAGCCATTCCCAGCAGCGGGATCTCTGCAGACAGCGCTGCGGCTCTCCCTAGTGTTGGGTTAAATTCCAGGTATGCTCCCAGAGCTTGATCCTGGCAGGCAGCAGAATTCCTCAGGCTCCTCGGGCAGCTTTGCCTACAGCTGGGAAGGTCCAGGGACTGGCTGCACAGCTGGCTGTCCCCAGAAAGTTCCTGGACTCAGGCTGGAGTAGCAGTAGCCTCAGAAGTCCCATGATTCAAGCCATCTTAGTCCTGCCATGGGACTTCGGGGGTCCTGGGCTAGGGGACCGACCATCCCGTAAGCCAGAGGGTGGAAGAGGTAGAAGCTGTGAGAGAGAATCCAGAGGGAGGCCATTGGTTCCCAGTGTCCCAGGAGAGGCAAGGGCCCCACGGATCTTTGAAACTCAGCAGCCCCTGCTGGAGCTTATCAGCTCTTCTCCACCTACAGGACCTACTCCTCATCACCATGTCTGAGTTCAACATGTAGGCACACCATAGTCCGAGGGCTTAGCAGATGCTGGCTTAATGACAAAGAAGGAAAGGCTCCTCCCAGGAGGCCCAGGGGAGAGACCAGTCCCAGGGTCTGGTCGGGTCTGGCCATGGCTGTTTGGCTCAGAGTACTTGTTAAAATGTGCATGTGCCCTCAGATCACAGGCCCACCATTTCCTGTTCACACTTTAACGCTGCCTCCCAGGCCCCTTAAGGCCAGTGACTCTCACAGGGGATCTGAGCCTGGCCCAGAGCTGGGGCAGTGGGGCCAAGCAACACCCTCCTGGCAGTTATTCTGAGCTACGCCCCACATCCTTCCCTCACCCTCTGCCTCACCCACCCCCGCCAGGGCTGTCGGGTGGGAAGCCGAGGCGACTGAAGAAAGGCAGCTGGGATGGTACAAAATCTGGGGCCCACTGGCAAAAAGAAAGAACACACAGCCCCAACTTTCTCCTATCTGGCTCCACACTGGGGTCACCTGGGGAGCCCTGAAAACTGGCTCAATTGAATCAGAGTCTCCAGAGATGGGGCCCTGGCACCACCCTACTTTAAGAGCACCCCAGAGGACTCTAAAATGCACCAAAGGCAGAGGCATCAGAGTTGTAGGCAGGGAACAGGGGGGCAGCAATACGAGGGGTAGGGGCTACTCACCTGTAGGCAGTTCCCAGAAGCAGGCTCAGGAGTCCTGCCGCATACATGCCCCTGGCCAGGAAAGGGGAGGCCAGACTCCAGGCACAGAGCTGCAGGACAGTATCCCACAGAATACCTGGGAGAAAGAAGAGAGCCAGGCCTAGCCCCAGGCTGTCAGAGGATGGCTTCCCGGGAAGCAGCACAGAGCAGCCATCTAGGTCAGGAAGCAGGGAGACTCCCCCTCGGTGCTGCTCCCCCGCCCTCCCCCACCCCAAGGCCAGGTAGGCGGTGCTGACCTGTCAACATGCTGGAGAAGAGCATGGCTGGGAAGTAGTGGTGGAAGTAGAGGATCCGGCCCATCAGGAAGAATGGGAAGTAATGGAGCATCCAGCCGAGCAGGAGCTGACCGCCTCCTTGCAGCAGGACCTGGGACAGCCCTGGACCCCCAAGCAGCACAGCGTGGTCAGCAGCCAGGGAGGAGGCAGAGACCCCTGCTCTCGTCCAGCTCTGCCCCTTCCTTGCAGGGGGACTGGACTAGGCCACGTGCCCTTACTGGGCCTGCCTCCCTCATCTGGAGCACCAAGCAAGCTGCTAAGCGAGCCCACAGCAGCTGGACGAGAGGAGCAGCTGGCCCTCGAGAGCCTTGCTCACCGCCTGCTTGGAGAGGCCTCAGCACCCACGCAGATGCACTGAACGGCAGCGGGAGACAGCCCAGCCTCCAAAGCAGCCAAGATGCCGCACGGCCCACAGACAGCTGCCCCCACCCCACTGCCGCCTCCCACATCTCCGCGGCTGCACGGGCCTTTGCAGTGGCAGACAGGGCGGCGGAGAGGTCAGAGATGAGGATGCATGGGACAGAGGGGGTCTAGGGCCATGGCTGTTCACACGGGAGCTGCATAGGGTAAAAAGAGCCTGTGGGAAAGTCTCAGGGGCTGTGGTCCCTACCCCGCTAGATGACGCGGCCACGGAACAGAGAGCAACAGAGAAGAAAAGGTGGGCAGCTCTATACAGAGCATAGAGGTTCGAAGTGAGGGCTCTAAAGTCAGACCACTTGGGCCTGAACCTTAGCTCTACACTTACTAGTATATGTCCTGGGATAAGTCCCTTCTCTTCGTGCCTTCGCATTCTAAGCCATAAAATGGCATTAAGAATGTTCTATTCTACAGGGCTGCTGAGAGGATGGAGTGTTTAACACAGTACTGGGTATTTGGTGACTGAGCTCTAAAAAGCAAAGAACAAGGGAAGCAGTGGGGTAGTGAAGGTAGAATGGCCTGTCGGCAGAGCAGGCTCCAGCCAGGTGCTAGGTCAGGGGAGGAAGACCCCAGGGACCGACCTTCCACCTCCGCAGGCAGGTGTGCCCCTCTCTGCACAGCTACAGCAATGATGCTCCCCAAGAGGACGTAGAGGGCAATGCTCAATAGATTCAGCCACCAAACCACCTGCATGGGAAGGAGAATGGGCGGGTGAGAGGAGAGCCGCAGCCCCCCGCGGACCCAGGCTGAGGGCCCACGCAGGGAGCGTGCAGGGCACTCACCGGGTTGCCGAGGAGATACACGCGGAAGTCTGTGTCGTTGATCCCTGAGAAGCGCAGGCCCTGCGGAGCAGAAGACACCCTGCTGATCCTGGACCCGGTGCACCCTGCCACACGTGCTCCGGTGGGAAGGAAGACCAGCTACCTTCCAGAGAAAGGGAGCCTGGGCAGGAGGCTCAGGGAGTGCTGATTCTATGTGAGCTCTTTGGGAAGGCCAGCTCAGAATCAGGACAGAAAACAGAGCCCTGTCTTCGGCCACCTCATGCCAGGTAAGGCCTTGCCCAGTCGTCACCCCACCCTCACCAAGTCTCAAGGTCTCTTTTTTGGCTCCATTTCCTGGGAGCAGCTCTAGCCTTGAGCCCTACCTGATAGTTGATAGGCCAGTGCCAGGGTTTGGATGTGAACTCATTGTCCTTGGGTTTGAGGCCACTGTTCCCCTGCAGGAAAATGGCAGAAAAGAATTTAGTCAAGGCAGAGAGATCTAGAGAGCTGACAGAAATGTGGGGAATGGGCATCTCTGACAGATAGCCAGATGTCAAGGGAAACCTCCCCTGTCTCCCTCCCTTGCAGGGGAAGAATCTGGTGCTTTCTCAGTCACTCTTCACCTGCTTACGACTGCCTTACTTCAGCCAACACACAAGCTTCCACTGCCACCAAGCACAGTCCATTCAGACCCACTATACTTGAGAGAAAAAAGGACTTGTTTCCTGTGAGCACAAAACATATATCCATCTTCCGGACCAAGCAGAAGGTGTCTAGAGGGCTAGTGTGAGATACAAAATCAGGCTGGCTTACTTGTTCCCTCTGGAGGCCAATTTCAAACACAAAACCAGACAGTCCGATGAGTTCCTGAACTTGGAAAAAGTTACTTTAGTCTAGTGTTTGTCAACTTTTTTTTTTTTTTTTCATTCTTGCCCCTCCTGGGGCTTTTTAGACATTGTTTTCCTAAATGCGTCCCATGACACTTTAATACCACAGCTATACTGTAAGTGTGTTTACATACTGGATGACTACCTACGCTTCATACATTAGAAAGTTAAGGGTTTTTTTGCCCTCCGAGAATACATTTTACTCTGGGAGTGATACTACCCCTGTTCAGAGTGAACACTTTAGCCTGAAGGACCCAGATCCGGCACCTTTAATCCAGCACCAAGACTGTCCAACAGCCTGTCTCTACATGCCACAATCAGGGTTTTTCCAAAACAAGAAGGAAAAGATCAGGACCCTGGATACTAAGCACCAGGCCCGGTGCCAGCCTCATTATCAGAACAAACTGAGAAGCCACTTCCTGAGAGCAGGAGTGAGGTGTTATGAGTTAGGTCAGGGTTTCTCCACGGAAGGACCTCAGAATGAAGAATGAATCATCCCGGGCCCCAGAGGAGCTGCTAAGGGAAATCTGTTCCTTCAAACCATTGCAGTTCGGCCCCAGACTCAAGGACTCCAGCCAGAGCTATAACCAGCCACGGAAAATCTATTCACTGTGTTAGCCTCGGAAATCCAGTTCCTTTACTAATCCAAGAAAGGGAGGGAAGGAAAAGTCTGCAACCATTACAGGCCTGTGCATTTATACATCCTTCTCTATGCTTAAAATCTAGAGTGGGCTCATCCCAGCTGACCTCAGCAGGCAAGGCAGCCTTCTCTGCACGGAACTCAGACCCTCCACTTAGCAGGCAGAAAAGCCCTTTCCTGTGTGGTTTCTCTCACCTGGACAATTTTGATCACCCTCCCCACCCTGACTCTATATTGGTTGAATAAGAAAGTTCCCTGGTGCCCCTTTATTCTTTGGCTCTACCTCTTAGATAATGAGAGAAGAAACGAGACTATTTAGACTTCGTCTTAAAATTCTACCCAGACACAGGATGATATTTTGGCTGACAGGCACGTATGCGAAAGAGCCACGTCATCCAGCCACAGTGACAGCTACAAGCAGGGAGTCAGAGAAGAAGTGACCCAGAAACCACTTAATGTTAAGTCTTCACCTCCCAATGTGTAGAAATGACAAAATTTGAATTCTTTGATCGAATCTGGTGAAGTAAGTCAACTGTATTTACTGAGGACTGCTTACATAATCACTTCCAGGAAAGTCCACTTGACAGCGGCTCAGCAGGGGACAAACAACGAGCACTACACCTCTCTGTGCCCCCGTGGGTGCAGCGATCATCACGTACCTGGCTTAAGATACAGCGATTCCTACACACCATTGCTGCAGGACGCTGGCTTTCCATAAACCAGAGCAAAGGCGTCCCCCACACATCAGCACTGCAGCAGGCTTTCTCTGCTGCCCAGGGGTAAAGTGAGCTACTGCGTAGAACTTTCTCAACTTAAGCATCTCCTCTCTCAATTGTTCTTACACCTTTCAGGCTAGGACTGCTGTCACACACTCATGATGGGGAGTACCAACAATGAGCCTTACGAAACCTGCGATAGACTGAACCATGCCCCCTAACAGTTCCCCGTGTCTGGGAACGTCAGTGGGCTCGTGGTGGGCATTTTATTTTGTTTTTTTTTTTAAAGATTTATTTATTTATTTATTTGACCGAGAGAGATCACAAGTAGACAGAGAGGCAGGCAGAGAGAGAGAGAGAGAGAGAGAGGGAAGCAGGCTCCCTGCTGAGCAGAGAGCCCGATGCGGGACTCAGTCCCAGGACCCTGAGATCATGACCTGAGCCCAAGGCAGCGGCTTAACCCACTGAGCCACCCAGGTGCCCCATGTGGTGGGCACTTTATACTGCAGATCAACAACATGCTCAGATCAGTATTCATGCTAATTCATTCTAATTTCCTATGCTGGAAGGAGCTATCAATGTCTCAAGATCTTCAACCAAGAGCACTCTGGTTTTCGGGGCTCTGCCGTTTGAACAGATTGGAGGATCACTTAGAAGCAGCAGGGTGGCGGTAACCAGCGCGGACTCTGAAAGCTGCCGGCCTGGCTCTGAAACCTGGATCCACCTCTTCCGTTTAGTTCTGTGACCCTGGACAAGTTCTTTAACCAATCTGTGTCTCGATTCCCTCATCTGTAAAGTGGGGACAATCAGCCCATACGACTGTGGTAACTGCTGAATAAGTTGGTATGGCACTGTGCTTAAAGCTACGTAAGTGTGCACTGGAGTCTGTCGCCGTCACCGTCATCATCATCACTGTCCTCATTCTGCAATAAGGGAAATGCCTTCAAAGACCGAGTAAAGCAGAAGCGAAGACCCTTTCAAAGTCCCCCACCAGGGGACAGTGGATCTACACCATGGCTCCTGATCTGTGATGCAAATTTGTGGATGGTCGGAGCTCACAGAGAAGCCTTCAAATGAGAGGGGCCCACAGTACCCGGATCATCACCATGTGGGACTCCAGCAAGATCTCAGGAAAAGTGGGCTGCAGCACGTCCAGGCTGATGTTTGGCACTAGACAAAGAAAGGACAGAGAAGAAAACCTCGGTTACAAGCACGTTCTCACAGCTGTCTGTGTTCCAATGCCACACCTGGAGTCCGAGTATAGCTTTCCTGACGCGCTGGCTAATGAGTATGTTAGAGTGTTGAGGAGATAGAAGAAAGCTTGGCCCAATTCCTGATCATCCCTTCAGCTTATGCGAAGCCCTCATGAGGCACTTGGAGAAACACAAATGCGACAAGGCCCGTCCCCAGTGCTGCCATTGCTCTCGGCACTATCACCCTTCATTATGGTACAGGCTCGAATGCTGGGCCAGTCTGTGAGGACAGGGACCAAGTCCACCTCATTCACCAGTGTATCCCAGGGGCCCCCAGGCTTCCCACTATACTCACTAAAGAGTTCATTAGTAAACTAGCTGGTTGGCTAAGTTAGGTACTAAGGAGAATGAAATAGGAAGCACCGAGAGGGGAAATCAAGCAGAAGTTTAAGAGGGGTGGTTGAGGAGGACAAACGATGGATCCAAAGACTATTGAGTTGAAGATTACATTACTGTAGAAACATCACATTGGAGCTGGGAGTGCAGATATGGGGGCTCAGATCAAGGGCTGTGGCCACTGCTTTCTGTGAAAGTGTTGGCTGGCTGTGGCTCTCCACAGGGGCATCACCGGAAAGCACCAGCCTGCTCTAAGCCTTGAGGGTGGGAGGAACCCAGGTGCAGGGAACTGAAAAGCCCAGAAGGAGACAAGATAAGTAGACCCGCATTGCAGGGAGCAAGGAAAAGCATCAGATCCAACAAGAAGCAGGGAAAATGGAACAAGGAAACTAGCTCTGGCCCACGGTGAGGTCACTGGTCAATTTAGGGGGAGTTTAAAGAGGATGGGAAGTTGACATGGATGGGAAGAAAAAGGAGCTACCTGTCAAGACACCTCATATGAAAAGATTAGGTTCAAAAAAGATAGGAAATGACAACAATGTGATATAGTGGCAGCAGAATCTATGAACATTGATTTTTCTAAGATAAGAGTTACTTATAAATGTTTCCAAGAAGTAATCTCACTCACATTTGGGATTGATATGGTCCTCCACATTCCAGATAGAGTTGAGGGTTTCCTTTAGGTATGGGGTGCAGGTAACCTCCAACTGTTCCCAGCCCCTGTGAAAAGCAGTCACAGAGGTCTCTCAGAAGACGTGACACTCACCAGAGAGTCGCACTGTCAAATCTCTTACATTTATAGAACCTGCTCTTTTCAACCCAATGGCCATACTTTTTTCAACCTCACTCTTTTATATTCCATGACAGTCCTAGGAGGAGTCCAGCACAGAGTATTCCCACTTTAGAAAGGCCCAGAGCACTTAGAACGTCCCAGACAGATGAACAACTATTCTGTTCAACTCTCAGAACACATAAAACACCAAAGGAACTCTGGAGTTCTGTGCTCTGTAACACACGTGATGCCTTTTCTCCCTCCATCTACCACTAAAATACAAGAAAACGTGAGGTGAACATTGACAACTGGGAAATAGAAGTTTCTGGTATACTCCTTGTAGTGTGAAAGAGGAAGTATGAGCCTCAGTTGGGACATCAAAACCCCAGAGACTCACCACTTGGGCAAGACCTTTCCCGAGGAGCCCAGGACACAACCTGTGACCAGATGGATGAGGCGAATGCGACTTCTAAGCACTTTGATCCGGTTTCCAAATTTTCTGTTTACAACCTCAATCCGCCAGAAATCATTTGAGTCACCTGTCCCATTCTGCCATGTCAATCAAGGAAAAAATACAAAGAAAGTTAAGATGACTTTAGAGAAGACATGTCAGGAAAGGGAGATGGCCCCCCTTCCGATGCCACCATGTTACAACGGTCAAAGACAAAATAGGCCTCAGTGGATGAGGCAGGAAGGGGAATGAGAGGGCCAGAGAAACACCCTAAGTGATGGACATTCCCCCAGTGCTCACCACCACAACTAAGAAAAGTAGTGTGACTCCTGCAGCCCACACTCCAATGCTTCACAGGACTACATTTAAATTCTAAACATATGTCTTTGCTCTTAAACCAAACTCATGACAGCACCTTGAGCCAACAGAAATAGATTTGGGCCATTTGTACCCATTACTTGGCCATCTGGACACTCACTCATCTAAGCCAGAAAGGTTTGGCCTGGAGATGATATTCTGGAAATTAAGACATTTGTGTCTAATTCTCCTCAGGAGATGCCCACAAGAAAATGATAATTAGTGGCCCAAGTAGCACGGGGTGAGCAAGCAGGAGGGGGGTTGGGAAGGCCACCTTAAGGAACCCAGAATCTTTACTGATACACTAAAGCCCCTGCAAGGGAATGTAAGATAGTCCTAAGTCTAGCTGCCCTCTCCAGTGGTTTTGTTTCCAAATCACTCTCCAAGTACTCATTGAGCTTCTTTTTCTATTAACTGCATCACCCCACGCTAGTAAAAAATCCAAAAGCACTGTGGTTAACATCTCCTGCAGAACAGGGAAGTAATCCTTAAAAGTAAAGTCAATGAGGATCTGGGATCTGCAAAGAATAAACTTACATATTTACCTAGGATCATATTGTGGGTCCATGGCTTCTATGTCCACTGTGATTTAAAAAGGGACCCAAACAGTATTCATATGTGACATTTATTAAGTGTCAGAACAGAAAAATGGCATGGTTATTATGGGAGGGATGAGATGGAAACAAACAGACTCACAGGCTGCTTTTCCCACAGCAAGCCTTGCCAAAAAGTTCCGAACGTTAATAGAGTCCCTGTGTAGCCCGTCATCCTTAGGAACATTCCAGAATTCCAGGGAGGATGTGTTCTGTCTCACGGCCGTGAACCAGGCCCCACAATTTTTTACAGCCTGATCACACTCCAGTTGCTCACTTACTATGCCATAGCCAGTGACCTGATAGTGCTTCCGGGTCAGGGGGGCCTCATGATAGTGACTGTGCAGGTTCCGAGAAGTCCTAGAAGTTAAGAGAGGGAAACGCCATTATCTTGGGGAAAAAAGACATGCAATGTCTCCTCTTTTACTAGGGATATTCAGAGTCATCTGTTAGTGCAAGAAAAATTAGAAACTGAGCTATGAAATCCAACAAATCAGGAATGTCTTGCCTATTTACTCACAAGAAACATCCAAAGAATCAGAGAATTGCCCAAACCATGAGGGACAGACGGTAGGAGCCCTGGACCCCATGCCAAGAAAGGGGTTAACTTCTGTAGTAGGGGGATGACTTACCACATTTGGTGGCTCTGAAGCACTTAGCTTGCCTGACTCATGAGGCAGCTTTGGGGAGAAGAAATTAAGATTTGTAATCTATGCATGCCTGAGCCGGGTAAGCCTCCTCCCTCCCATTTATTCTTTCTGCCCTCATCACCAATTTTACAAAGTGGGGGTCAGAAGGGGAAGGGAGGAATTAATTTGGCTTTATTTACTTTGTTTGTTTTATAATACTTTTTACTTTTATCCACAATAAGAAATAAGTGTTCAATATAAAAATTCTGGAAATTTCCAAATTTCCAAAAATAAAACTCAACAATAAATGATAAATAAATTTCTATTAATAAAACAAAATGAAACTAAGTAAGTAATAAATAATAAAAACTAAAAAGTAAAGGGCTGGGGCACCTGGGTGGCTCAGTGGGTTAAAGCCTCTGCCTGCGGCTCAGGTCGTGATCCCAGGGTCCTGGGATCGAGCCCCGCATCGGGCTTTCTGCTCAGCAGGGAGCCTGCTTCCCCCTCTCTCTCTGCCTGCCTCTCTGCCTACTTGTGATCTCTCTCTGTCAAATAAATAAAATCTTTAAAAAAAAAAAAAAGTAAAGTAAAGATTTAAAGTAAATCTTTAAAAAAAAAAAAAAGTAAAAGTAAAGGGCACCTGGGAGGCTCAGTGGATTAAAGCCTCTGCCTTCAGCTCAGGTCATGATCCCAGAGTCCTGGGATTGAGCCCCGCATCAGGCTCTCTGCTCAGTGGGGAGCCTGCTTCCTCCTCTCTCTCTGCCTGCCTCTCTGCCTACTTGTGATCTCTGTCAAATAAAAAAACAAAAACAAAACAAACAAACAAAAAAACTAAAAAGTATTCACAATCATAGTAGGAAAAAGGTTTTCTCTCTCTATATATACAGTGTGTATATCAATATGTGTATACACACACACACACACACACACACACACACACACACACAGCATAGCTTTTCTCTATATATAATTCCTGATTTTTAAAATACTCCATACTGGATGATCTTAGTATACAATATTTTGCAGAGCTGCTTCTGCTATCTATCATTCGTATTCGCTCTTGCACATGGTGCCCTATTTCCTTGTGTGCTTAGTTATTTTTTACTATGTACTATTCATCATCACTGAAAAACTATTTATGGGAATGGAAGGCAATCTCTTTCCCAAAAGAGGATTTACATCTGCTTTTAGCCAGGCACCTAGGAAATATTACCAGTCTAGGATTATATTCACTGCAATTCATGGCCTAAAGATTTTCAGACCATCCAGATGAAATTAATTTGGGCCACAAATCCATGTGAGGATCAACTGGTAGAAACAACTTTTCAGGAACCAGAAATAGCCCCTCCTCAACCCCTGCTCCCCCAGCTCTAGCCCTTTGTGGTTTCAAGTTTGGGGGAAGGATCACTTAATACATTTACCACTTTGGGTGAGCCTACAGCTTTGAATTTACAACTCTTTCTCTCAAGGCGCAGTCAAAGCCAAAGATCGAAGCTCAAGATTGCAGGATCAAGGCAGAGGTGGCTGCAGCATCCCACTCATTTCTCTGGAATCCCCATACCCCACTTCCACTTAGATTTTGGCCTGGTAACTCCCTATTGCCTTGTCAGCTCTTTGATGCTCTAGGATGTTTTCATGTTATTCCAGCATTTTTAGTCATTTTCAGTGAGAACGTTGCTTAAACAAACCAGCTTGCCATATTCTCAGAAGCAGACTTCTACATCTTCCTAAAGGTAGCCACTTGAGAAGAAGCATTGGGTAACTCAGATACTTTTTTCCCTCCCCTGGAAAAAGGGAAACTGAACGTTATCTTCAAAGTTCAAAGCTCCCAAAGGCAAAACAGGCGGACAAAATTGGCCTGCTTACTTCACCAGACTTCATAAAATGGCTTTCCCATTCTAGCACAGCAGCTTTGTTCCATTTACTAGAGTATCATCCAAATCTGACTTCCGTTTCCTTCCAGCTTAGAAGAACTCCTTACCTTCGGTGCCCATACCACTCACTCATCCCAGACAGCCAATTTACTTACTCTTTGTGTTCTAGCCGAATGATGTCTCCATGTCTTACAAATTCCACTGGGAATGAAGGGTCCAGGGGATCTGCCAAGAAGAAACAAGCATTGATATCTGAAGTCATTCACTCATTAGGCTAGTATGAATTGAGGGCCTACAAGTAAAGAGTTTCAGTATAATATCATAGATCCTAGAGGTGCAGAGTGCTGGAGGGATAAAGAGAAAGGGCCACTCACTGTCTCAAGGAAGGGTGTCTCAGAGATATGCTTGAAAAGGCTCTTTAAGGAGGGGAGAATTTTGTCAGGTCAACAAGTAGGGCCAGATGTATGAAAGAACAAAACACATTTGACCAACAGCAAACGGTTTCATATGAGTGGGTAGGGTGTGTGGGGGGAGAGGAATGGGAAAGACTGTGGGAATAGATGAGGATGTGAACAAGTAAGGCCACACGGTACAAGCCAGGCTAGGAAATGTGGACTTTATCTGACAGGCCCCAAAGCCTCCATAGGAGGGTTTTTAAGCTGGGAAGTCAAATAATAAGATTTTCCTTTTAGTAGTAAAAACATAGTCTTCCAAAAATTAATTCCATGTAAATGACCATATGCCTCGCTCTCCTCAAAGTCCAATGTTAAGCCCTGAAAATTTTGTCTGTTATTATCTTGTCTCTGACAACAAACTTGCTAAGTGTGAGGTAAAGAAAATGATGAGGTGACAAAAGAAAGGGACCACATCATCTAGAAACCAAGTCAGATCAGGTCTAGCAAGGCAATGACAATGGAAAAGGAGCTAGCAGTAACCAGCAATACAAAAAAGATCCTTGCAAACTTCTTCCCAAACAGCGAGTGAGACACTAATGCTCAAGGTCAGGAAAGAGAAATGTGCCAGAACAAATCACTAGTTTTTAAGAGAATTAGAAAACTCAAGTGTAGGGATGCCCATTCCTACATGGACCCTAAGGTCTCCAAAAAAGTTTAATCAGCAAAGGCGACAAATCAAATAAGTCAATGGGAGGGAAGTTTCATTTTACAAGGATGTGGCGGGAGGGGCATTTTTAGCCATCAAGAACACAAAGACCTAAATAAATAAAGTCAAATGAGAAAGGAGAAGGAACAACCAACACTACAGAAATACAATCAATCATAAGACAATATTATGAAAAGCTATATGCCAACAAATTGGACAACCTAGAAGAAATGGATAAATTCCTAGAAATACATAAAAAAAAAGACCTTAATCTGTATGGCTCCCACTTCCCTAAGTGCTTGCAGCTCTCTGCCTTCACACAGCCTTAGTTCCCTGGCGGAAATGCAACCACCTTAAGCTAGAAGCCACATCGAATAACAGATCAGAGATGTTCCAAAATTTGGTCAACGCCCACATAACTTTAGAAGTAAAGCAGTCTTGCCTCATAACCCCTCCTTGTGATAGGCCACTTACGTTTGTCCTTCTGGATGAAAACAATCAATATTGTCACAAGACTGCAGCAATATGAGGTGGGGAAAGGAACAAAAAGGTTGAATTTAGGTGAACAGCCACCTATTGCCACACCAAAGCTCAGGAGCCGCTAACTCCAGAAAGGCGGAGAGCCAGGCGGGGTTTTCTGAGGAGTCACAGAGAAAGCCTGTGACACAGGACAATCAGCAGGGGCTCAGAGATGAGCAGAAGATGCCCTCTGTTTTCTTCTCAGCTATAGATACAGAAAGCACAGCTGGCAGGTAGCTAGCTCCCTGACCAAAGAAAGATCTGGATAGAGCCCACGTCATAAAGCCCCAAGAGCCCATTAAATGTGCTTTAGAGCAGCTTTGCCCCGGCCACCCAGGGGGCAGGCCAGCAGGTATGGAGTGAGGACCCAAGCACCAAGCTAGACAAGCCCAGCCACAGGCTCTGAGATCTACAACTGACCAGTCCAGTCCAGGGATGACCAGAGGGCAGCAGTACTCTATCCAATCAAGACAACTTGAGCTGCACCGTATGCTGGGGTCTGCAAGGCTTAGTGCGCTCTCATTAGAAACAAGAGTGGCCGCCATGTGCCCTCAGCTGGGTCTACTCAACTAGCCCCCAGCAGCATGTCTAGGTAACCAGTCTAAACTAAGTTTGAGCCTTGGCCGGGCTCTCTGGCTTCAGCATAACAGCTATTAAGAGTGAGATCTTATCTGTCTTGCTCACTTCTTACCTCCTATGTTGACAACAGTGCTTAGAAGATAGTAGATGCTCAATAAGTAGCTGTTGAAAGGATAACTGAGATCAGTAAAGGTACTGCCAAGGAAAGCTCAGGAATGCCCATCTCCGTACCATTTGAAGGCATGAGAAATGTTAAAAATGGCTCAGAGTAAGCAGTAATGCAAGAAACATGTTCCTACGTTACCTGCATTTGTGTTGTGTTTCTTGATAATCCACAGGTTGTTGTAGTCCTTGTGCAAATAGGTGGTGACCTGGGTTGGGGGGCAGGTGGGAGAGAGAATACCATCAACATCGGCATAGCCACAGGATTATCAAGAGCAAACCAGCGTTGCTTAAGCCTCTTTCAGAATCCCCAGCCACCAACCTGAGGGGCCACGCTGCCCAGGAGGGTTCCAAAGTAGCCCTAGTGAGATTCTCTCCTTCCATCTGCGTTTAGAGGTTTCTCCCTCAAGTGCCTTTTTGATCAGTCTCTCTGTATATTTCTGCATCTTATCTTTAAAGTTTTAGCCTCCTAGAGGAGGAACCATGATACATTGTGTAACATAGTCTCCAGCACACAAACAGGATTTAGTGTATTTTTTAAATTTTCTATCTATCTATTTTAGAGAGAAATAGAGAGCATGAGCTGGGGGTGGGGCACAGGGAGAGGGAGAGAGAGAACGCTAAGTTGGCTTCACACCCAGGCGTGGAGCTGGATGTGGGCTCAATCTCAGGACCCTGAGATCATGACCTGATCCGAAATCAGGAATCAGACACTTAACTGACTGAGCTACCCTGGTGCCCTGATTTAGTGCATTTTAAGAGTAATTAAGAACATGCCTCAAATTTTCTAAATGAAAAATTCATGCTGTATTTTCTAGAATGTGACCAAATGAAACTAAATAGCTCCATATATATCTTGTCCTAGAAGCCTGAGGGTTTAGCCTGTAGCCATTTCATAGACACCGATTTTTTAAAAATTAAATGTGTGTGTGTGTGTGCATGTGAACATTCACATCATGCTGTGATGAATCTAATAGCAAAAATTTGGAAACAGAATAAATGTCCAGTGATAGGGGAATAGCTAACATGATGATACGTCTGCAGGACAGAACATTACACAGACACAAAAAATGTTTCTGAGCATTTTTTACCAGCATAGGAAAAGGTTTATAAAATGCTGATGCTGAAAGGGGCTGCCATTTATCACTAGGTACTGTTCTAAGCACTGGGCAAGTCTTCTATCTCTGCTAGGCACCATGGCTAGCCCCACCTTACTTACAAGGAAACTAAGGATGAGTTATTTGCTCAAAGTCACCATGGCCTATCGAACCAAGCAGCTAACTCCAAAGCTCCCAGGATAGAGATTATACACATAAGAATTATGCCAATTATATAAACAAGAACACAAATACCCAGAAACAATAGAAATATATACAAAGTGGGTTTTATGACTCCAATTGGATAAAACATTACTGATTTACTTGCAAAGGAATTTGGAATCAGCATTTAGGGAAAAAAATATGTATGTATTATGGCTGCTTTGTTTCAGTGGCTTTTCCTTTCTCAGAAAAAAATCAGGAATGATGGTATTTAGAATATACAAGACACATGGGTGGCTCAGCTGGTTAAGCATCAGACTCCTGATCTCAGCTCAGGTCTCGATCTCAGGGTCATGAGTTCAAGCCCCACACTGGAGCCCAGCCCCAAGCCCAGTGTGGAGCTAACTTAAAAAAAAGGGGGGGGGGGAGGTGCTTGGGCGGCTCAGTGGGTTTAGCCTTTGCCTTCAGCTCAGATCATGATCTCAGGGTCCTAGGATCGAGGCCGGCATGAGGGTCTCTGCTCAACAGGGAGCCTGCTTCCTCCTCTCTCTCTCTGCCTACTTGTGCTCTCTCTCTGTCAAATAAATTCTAAAAAAAAAAAAAAAAAAAAAAAAAAATACGAGAAACTAAAACATTTTGGCAGCCATAGAGAAATTAAATTCATACTCCTAAACAAAGGTACAGAGAGCCCAAGGCCTAGATTTGCTTAAAGGATCTTAAGATTTTATGTTGCTTGTGCGTATGTACTCTGTGTATTTTTTTAAACAAAACTTACTATTAAAATTATATAAGAAAAATTACTTCCTTATTACGAGTATAGTCTATGGCCTCTTTTTCCCATAGAAACATTTGTTTTTACAATGGATTGTTTTACAACACAAAGTCTCCTAGAAACACTCATATCCTATAACAACAGAATGTTGTACGCCAAACTATGTGGGTAAACATTGATCTTCTGCAATTAATGTAGTTTTCGGTTTTGGGTTATTTTGTTATTTTATTTTATAAATGTTATACTTTAAATATATTTTAAAATGGAGACTTAGGGTTGTTGACAAGACACGAAACTCCAGCGCCGTGTGGACCACTAGAAGTGGTTTAGTCCAACCCCCCAGCTGGCAGATGAAGAAACTGGCTAAGAAAGGCTCAGTGTGATTCAGCTGGGACAGAACCATACTCTTCCATGCCGTGGCCCCACATGCTCTCTCTACACCACTATCATGGCTTCACACCTCCACACATGACTGTGAGTGTGTAACACTAGGACTAGCGTAACAAGGTCCTTCTCTCCCTTTGCACAGTGTAAACAACGCTGGCCACCACGTCTGTAACTTGAGCTTCTCCATGACAGCTGCAGCTCCCCAAGGAAGGGCTAGCTGTGGTTTTCTGCCCTGGCTATCCACTAGCCTTTTCTGGAGAATTTCACAGCAAAATAGAAAGGCACAATGCATGGGCCCCCTCCTGGATCAGTGGAGTCAGAGCTTCTATTTGGTACCCAGGCACTGGATTGTTTTAAAAGCTCTCCAGTGGGCTTGAAGTGCTAGAGACAACAGGAGAATCAAGAATGGGAAACTTGATACTAAAACCCAACACTCTGTGTCAACTTCCTGGTGAACTAGTAAATAAGGAAATAATAATAAAGATTTTTAGGAAGTAAAACTTTTTTGCCAAGTAAAAATACCGGTCATTTTGCCAGAAGAGAAGCATCACTCCAAGCCTCTCAGCACAACAGCCTCCCCTGCGGCCTGCACGCCTCCCCTCTCCCCTGCTCCCTACTCCTGAGACCTGGGGCCTCACCCCTCCTCAGAAGCAGTCCCAGTTAGCAACGAGGCCCCCTTTACTATCATTCAATGTGGCCTCTTTCTTAGCCCCCACCTTCTCTGAGGCCTTTGCAGCACCTGAACTGCTGACCACCGGTCCTCCTGGGATGCTGCCTGCCCTGGGCTCTCCTCCCAACCCCTGTTCACGCCCTCCTTCTCAGCCTCGTCTACCAGCGCCCCTCAGAGCATCTCCACCACTGCCTAAGTGTTGCTGCCCCCCCCCCCAGGGCTCCTTCACTGCCTCTCCTGCCTCTGCACACCCTTCCTGGGCAACGCCACCCATCCCACTGTGTCACAGATACCCATATGCTACGCACACAGATCTCCTTCCTGAGACAAGCCCCAAAACTCAAAGACACAAAACAAACTCTCTCATTTCCAGAGCTATTCTTCCTCCTCCATTTCTGACTATGGTGAAATACCATTACCCCAGACACCTTCATCTCCAACCTACAGACCTAGATATAGCTTATCCCTGACAGCTGCCAGTGATGGGGCCCTGACACTGAGCTGTGAAGTGTTTCCTGAATCAATTCCCACCTCTCTTTCACGGTCTTTGCCTCTATTCACCATCCTCTGTCATGATTATTGCCTCCCAACTCATTTCTTGCCTTCAATCTGCTCCTCCTTTCAATCCATCACCCTCCTGCTGGAGGTTTTTTCCTAACCTAAAAATCTAACCACATCTTATCACGCCTCCACAAATCTCAATGCCTCACCAGTGTCCATAGAACAAAGTCAAATCTACTGTAACACGGAAGGCCTCTGCACAACTTGGCCTCCCCAACCTCTCCAACATCCTGCCTCTCCCTCTCAGGCACCGTCTGCCACAGCCACACCCGACACTCACAGACAGGGACACGGACACAGTGTGGCTCACTTGCTCAGGTAATACTCATGGCTAAGCCCCCAGGGTGCATGTCACATGTACTTCATACTTTTAATCTGCACAATGACCCCATGATGGAGAAAGGCACTCTTTATTTTCCCTAATTAAAAATGAAGATAATGAAGCAGAAAAAGGTCAAGTAACTTGTTTAAAGTCATACTCTGGTGCAACCAGGATTCAAACCCAGATAATGTAGTCTGGTTTCCAGGCCTGTGTTCACAACCACAACACCTGACCATCATCCATGTCAAGCCAGGCACCGTGAGCCTTCCGAGAGCTAGCAAGAGACAAGAGGAACTGAATTCACAGTTCAATGTGAATAGGGTTAGCGCACAGGTTTACAAAGCATGCCGCAAACCCCTCATGCGAGAGGCGTTTACCCCAGTAAGCAGTAGAGGTGGGTCATGGTAATTGGAGGCAACACTTGCTCTGAAGCCTAAAGAAGCTAGAGTTAGCCAGAGCAAAAGGATTAGGGCGCAAGAGGAAGACTGTTCCAAGCAGGGAAAATGGTGCAGGTAAAGGGTGGGGGCAAGAAAGAGAAGGGCGGGTTCCGTCCTGGCCAACAGTTTGGTGTTGCTACAGTACAGGAAGTACAAAAGGCTCGCTGACCTGCTGCTGGCGGGCGCCAATGCCCTCAGGGTAGAGGTGCCTGTGGGAGTGGAGATAGCCGATGGCCATCCGCAGGTTCTTCACGGTGATCACGGAGCCATAGGCCAGATCTGGGAGGAAGGGAGAGAGTGGAGGGTGTGAGCTGGCATGGTGCTAGCGGTGGCCCCTGACTGGAAGAGACCTCTGAAGCCACAGGACTCACTAACCGTCTCACAGACCACACTGGGCCTAGTGCCGCCTAAAGTGAGACACACAGGTGCCTTCTCACTCCCACGGTGTCAACGCAAGTAGGAGTTCACTACAGGGTCTCACTGGTGTCCTTACCTCCCTTTCCTCCTCAGAACTTCAGAAGAAGCTGGTATTAACAGGGGTATTATCAAGGCACTACTTGTAAAAGCAAAAGATTAGAAACAGCCCATCCTTCAAAGTCTATACATACATTGAACACAATAAAGGAAGAAGCGTTTCAAGTCTTACCTAACATATTCTTCAAGATAGATATAATGTTATGATAGACTGTTAAGATAATTTTCACTTTTGCAAAGTCCTTTTGTGTCTTTTGAATCTAACACTATATAAAGTAGCTGTTCGATGGTGTTTGGGTTTGTTGGTTTTTTCAATTCAGAGTTTAAAAAAAAAAAAAGAAGAAACTAAGAAGATCCCTTCTGCCTGCAGGCCCTGCGTAACTGAGAAGCCTCTTTTCCTCCTTACTGTCCCTCTTCTCAGTCCCCTGTAATCTGGCTGCCCTGGCATTCCCCAGTCCACTGAGACACGTCTCGCTCCATCAGTGATAGACTACTCCGGTCCTCCTTTGTTCGCTCCTTTGGTCAGCAGATCGTATCAAATACAGAGTGGATCCAAAGCTGGAGGGATCCTGGCTATGGCCCTGGGAGAGCCCAGTCTTAGAGAAGATGGCGGCACACACCGATGAGCGCAGGACAGTGGGCAAGTGCTCCAGCAAAGGAGTGACAGTGTGTGACACGGTGGGAGCCCAGAGCAGAGGAGGATGAATTCTCATGCAAAGAGTAAGAAGAGGCTGGCTTGATGGAAGAGATCACAGTGAGCTAGGCCTTTGAAACAACAAGCAGGCATTTGCTAGACCCCACGGCTCCATTCTTCTACACTCTCACCCAGGCCAACATATGCAGCCCCGCACACTGCTGACCATCTTTGCTTCTGGAAATGCTCTGTTCCCCCTTCTCAACCCACGCTCCCTCAAGGACTGTCCTCTGCAGCATCCTTTCCTAACTCCCTCCCTCCTGCACTCCCAGTGACCTGGCTTCAGCCAGCCCAGATCTCATTCTCTTTCCACAGGTTTCTTACAGATCACAGCCACTGCCACGGTATCACTTTTCCTGTTAGCTGGCCGATTCCTCCTCTGAAAGCATCAGCCGCAAGCCCATTAGCCCTGTTGCATGGACTTCCCCAGGCATCTCAAAATCAGCCTCTCTACAGTGGAACCCAGTATCTGTCTTTCTAAACGAACTTTTTAACCTGCTTTCCCTATTTCTCATTCTGTACAGTCTTGGCGGGGCCCCTCTGTCCTAGGCACTGTGCAAGGCACTGGAAAGACTAGAAGATGTCATTGTGCCTCCAAGAAACAATTACCTGAGCTCAAGTCCTCAGTGACATCTTTCCTTTTCTCTTTCCATGTCCAATCTCCCTTGTCCATGCCCCTGTGCCCCACTCCTATGGCTGCTACCACGATGCCCAGCTCAAGTCCTCAGAATAGCTTTCCAGAGGGGCTCCCTGCCTCCAATCCTGTCCCCTCCCTAGCCATCCTATGCTTCGCATCAGTGTTGCCTCCCTACAGCACAGCCTTCCTGTCCTCCTTCACGCTCAAAGGCCTTTGCTGTGTCTCCACTATCTATTTAATGAGTCAAATACCTCACCCAAACGTTTCAAACCCTTATAATCTGGGCCCAATCTATCCTTCCAGCCTTATCTTCTACTACTTTTCTATAGATAATCTGTGCCTTACATTGTGCCCTGTTCATGGCCTTGATCATGCTGTCCCCTCTGTGCTGTATGCCGTCTCCTCCCTCTCTGTCCGTTCAAATCTACCCATTCTTCCAGGGCCAGACTCCACGGCATCTCACTCTATGTACCTCTGATGCCCTCTAACCCCCTAGCAGAAGTGATCTCTTGCACCCTTCGATCCCTTATGTACTTAACACACACAGTTACCGGATTCTCCACTCTGGAGGGCAGGCCCTCTACAGCCGCCAGTGTGGCTAACGTGCTGAACTACGACCTGCGGATAAGTGGCTGGATGCGTGTCACAGAATGCGATGGTGGAAAGTGACCACCAGCACCAGGGCCTTGTGCTTTCACCAGATTCTCTCTGCTTGCCTTCCCACGGGGCTGACGTGGATGCTTCCACCGCCACAAGGGAGAAGTCACGCTGCACAGTCAAAGAGCTTGCTGCTCCAGGCTGCTCTTCCTGTGTCCCAAGTCACTCTTGAGTGCTCACCCCAGATCTAACTGGACGTTGTTGCTCCCAGTCTGCCATCTACAGCCTAAAATAACTCAGGCTATCATACCCGTCTTTTCTAATTCACCTACCCAGAAAGGCTTCTGCCCGTCTACCTTCATAAAGGCCGAGCTACTCACGTTCGGGGATGGAAGCATTGTGAAGGTTGTTGCCTGAGAGCCGGGCCTGGAAGGCAGAACTGAAGAAGCCATCACCAGGACCGCTGTGGGAAAAGGAGCAGAAGAGAGATGAGTTCCTAGAGAGGAATTCTAATTTCCTGGGAACCCTAGGAAGAGCCCTGTGCAACTAATCTAAAAAAAAAGACAACCGGAGTGGCAGCATGGTACACAGTGGCAGAGTTGGAGTAACAGGGGTCCAGATCTCAAATCAGCCACTTACTAGCTAGGTGACTTTCAGCAGTAGCTAACTTTGTTTAGCCTCAATTCCTCATTCATACATTGGGGATTAAAAAAAAAAAAGAAGAAGAAGAAGAACTCAAAAAGGATCATGATGAAGTGAGAGAATATGTACAAGATGCTGACAAGGGGCCGCTACTTGGTAAATGGGAGCTACAGCCAGTGCTGCTGAGATTATCGCCCTCCTCCAACTGCACGCCTTATTCTGGCCCATCCCTGTTAAGCACAGGGGCTCTGCTTAGGGATAAGGGGCAGTTTGGCTATTAGGAAGTTCTCTTCTTTCCGGCTTTTCTGAGCCCTCCAGATACCCAAAAGATGGAACATAGAAGAAACAAACAGATAAAACCCACCAGGTCCCTCTAACATCCCAACCACAGACCCAGCAAATCACAGAGCCAACCCGCAGGCTAAGAGGCAAGAGGAAAACGGGAAGCAAGAGGCTGGAAAGGCTCTGCTGTACCTTTTGTTCAGCACCATGAAGTGAACAGCATAAGTGGCCGTGTAGAGAGTCAAGGGCAGCACTATGAGGCACAGGACACGAGCGGTCAGGTGTTTCCCCACAGTCACCTGCAAACACAGCCAGTGCAGGGTGCTGGGCACATGGGATTTTATCTTACTTTGTACCTTATATGTGCGTTATATGTAACTTTTTATGTGTGAGTCAAAATCACAAAAAATTAAAAAACTAACAGCCAACAAGAAAAAAACGTGAAAACCCTAGCCTTTCTATAACAACCCTCCCCACCCCGGCCCTGCAAGGGGGTGAACCTGGGCCAGCCCTCTGCTGCCTATGCAGGCCCTCACCCAGGACCCCAGACCTTCCCTGCATCTTCAGCCTCATCACTCATCAGTCCCCTCTACCTCCCAGTTCCGCTGAGCTCCCCGCATGGTCCCTACGCTTCCTGCACTATGCCAGCCCTATCCGTCACACACATAAGTGTTCCTGATCTATAGCTCAGGCCTCAGCTTCCCCCCAAAAACCTTCCTGGACCACGTGACCCAGGCTCATGCCCTCCACTGTGCCCTCATAGCACTTTTTGGCTGGACTGTTATCACCCGTTCACTTATTTCTCTCTCTCCATTGTCTCTGGAGGGTAGGAATCCTTGCTTTCTTCATCCGTATATTCCACGTTTCAGACTTCAAGGTAGTCTGTCTGTATTTTCTGAGCTAATAAATGTACTTATCAAGGCTTTGGTTCAGAGGTGATGGTAAAGCATTGTGGTGAAGTAGTTCTGGTCTGGAGTCAGCCTCCTCTAAGCCTGAATCCTACATCTACCTTTATCACTTGTACAATCTTGGACACACGATTACCTCTCTGGGTCTGGACTTCCTCATTTCTGAAGAGAAGGTAATAACGACCCACCTCACAGGACTGTTAGGAGAGGTAAATGAGACAGTGAGGGTGAAGCCCTTTGCCCAGTGCCTGGCACAGAATCAGCTCTTAGTTAATAATACTTTAATAAACTCTAAAGGCCCTTATTCGCCTCCAAATCTGGAGACCCTGGGTCAGAGAAAGAACATTGTGAGTTCATGAAGTCATCCTACCCATTTTACCCAAGATCCCAAGCAGCAAGTATCTGCCATATATTGGCATGAGCCCAGCTGGACAGACTCCCCTGGCTGGGTAGTTTGTAGAGCATTTAAAAAACATCACAGAAACAAATGCCAAAAGAAAATTCCAAGGATGTGGGTTCATCCTCTCCCTTTAAACCTCTCTAGCCTCTGAGCATGGCCTACTTCCTACTGTCAGGCTGCCTACCAACAACGGCCAGATCCAGCCCACCTCAGGCCCAGAATACAGCCACTCTACCACCTGCAGGAGGCAGAGAAAGGCCACTGGCTCTGCTGCACAATACCAGGGAGCAAAGACATTTCCACAAGCACTTGGGTTCTCACCACTGAAAGACTGAGGTCTCCAAACAGGTGCCAAAGGTCTGAAATGGTGTTCCACCCCACTTGCAGGATGATAAAGAGGCCAACAAACTTGACCCCTAAAGCACCAGCCAGATTAATGCCAGTCAGGCTGAGCCAGAACCACCAGGGGGCAGAGAAGGGCCTGAAAACCAACAAGACACAGAGTTCAGTTTGGCAGCTGGAACCAAACTAAAAAAACAAAAACAAAAACAAGGGCAGCAGTGCGGAAGGGAAGAGGCGTTGTGACCCTGACAGGCTGGGCCTGCCCTCTTTCTAGAGGGCTCCTAACCTCAGGGGCCATGGCGTGGCTCCAAGGAGCATGGGGTCTATGAAACTCCCGAAACCGCAGGGAGCAGGGTGAGAGTAAGGAGGACATTTTTCTGGCTGCAGCTCTAGCTTTCCTGGCTAAGTACAGGGCTCCAAGTAAGAAAAAGTCTTGTTCTTCAGTAGTGACCGATCAAGTGGGAGGAAAAGGCAAATCCAGAGAGGCCCACCGGATTCAGCCAGCCCTCTCCTGGGGTCACCTGCGGCCCTTGTGAAGTCACCAAGTACTGCTTACTATGTGTCAGGCGCTGTTCTGAGCACTTCACACATATAAACTAACAGTCACTACCACTCAGCGGAGGTGGGTCGTATGATGATCCCCTCCACCCAGAGGAGGAAACTGAGATACAGAGAGGCTCAGCAGTACAGCCAGCAAGTGGTACGGTGTGTCCTAACCCCAGCGGTCGGTTCCAAGGTTTGTTACCCTTCCAGCACCCAGCGCTCGGTGCTGCCACTTCCCACTAGCTGGCTGCCTCCTCTGCCAGAGTGAAGGCTCCTTGACCACGAGACTTATGTACCTCCGGCCCCTGGCACAGTACCTGGCACATAGTAAGTATTCAAGAAGTGGCAGGTGGAGGCGGACGTGGTAGAAGAAGATAATCACCCAAAGCCAGAGAGAGATGGTAGTCTCTGGATTCGGCTTTACTAGCGTAATGTAATTTAATGAGCCTGCCATGGAGAGACCAAGCTGACTCCTAGAAAAGCCTAGGCCAAGCCAGCTCTTTTGGTTTGAATAGAAGGAATGACCTACTCTCCTCTCTCAGAGGCAATAGGATGATCTGGAAAAGACCGTTCTGGAAGAAGACCAGGCCCTCCAGAACAGCGTTAGAACTGACCAGGGCCTGCAGAGATCCTCTTGACTGGTATGGACTGCTTAAGCCAACCTTTACATACATTCTTGCTGTCAGTGGGTCAGGAATGGATGCAACCATGGAGGAGGGCAGGGAGACAAATAGCTCCTAGGCGGTTTCTGTCCTGGTTCCCTCCCCTCTAGGACAGAGAATGTGAAGGGAAAGTTATTTGGGGGTCCGTAACCAGCACTGGCGCCAAGGGTGGCTTAGAAGACGGTGGAGCTGGGGAAGGCCTTAGGATTCCTCCATAATATCCACAAACCAGTACCCGAGTCCACCCATTATAATATTCTTAAAGCAGATAATTGACATTTTCCTATTTTTACACAAAACAAAGATGAAAGTATGTCTAGAAAACATATTAAAATCTATTTTTATGGGGTGCCTGGGTGGCTCAGTAGGTTAAGCATCCAACTCTAGATTTCGGCTGAGGTCATGATCCCAGGGTCATGAGACTGAGTTTTTCATCGGGCTCATGCTAAGTGCGGAGCCTACTTGGGATTCTCTCTCTCCCTCTCCCTCTCCCTCTGCCCCTCCTCCTCTACATGCAAGCATATGTGTGTATGCTCTCTCTCTAAAAATAAACAAACAAATAAAGTAAAATAAAAACAAAATACATTTTTACGATCTAAAACGGGCAATCCAAGTTTAAAAAAAAAAAAGTATGCTTGCCTTAAGTGCAGTTTCAAGACAAGTCCTATAGGTACACACCCTGTCCCTGGTCATTACAGAAATTCTGGAGCTGCACAGCTTCTAACCCCCAATGCCCACCCCACAAAGATGGTGTTTCTGACCTGTTGGCACAGGAGTTGTACTTGACCATGCTCAGCATGGCAGCCATGATGAAGAACATCAAGATGGGGTCAAGGAGGATATACTGGGACAGAGTGAGGCATCCCGTATCTGAAAAACATGAGCTCAGCAGTGAAAAAGGGAATCAGAGATGGACCCCCCGAGAACCAAACACCCCAACAATAGGAAATAGCGTACCTTATGCTAAACTGCATGTAAGCATTTATGCGGTCAAGACCAGATGAGTCACTGAGTCATCAAGGAGGTGGAAGGCCATAGCTTTGGGGTTGACCAAATTGACCAAAGCCCAGGGATAGGAAACTATCTCACAGTGCTTTCAGGCCCATGACCCAAGAAAGGACCATGTCATTCAAACAGATGGAGCAGTCCTGGGACAAGGGTTCTTCCTCACTTCCACCATCAAAAAGGGAGTTCTGCCAGCCTGCTTACATAGCCATAAACGACCTATACCTAGGATAGAGTCTTAGCACGTTACATGAAGTCTCTGTCGGCAAATGATTCTCCACACAGGCACCAAAATGATTGTTTTTAAAACAAAATGTCACTACATCAAGCCCCTGCTTGAAGCCTCCAATGTCTTGCCGCTAACTCAGACTAACCAGGTCCTCATGACAGCTGCCAAAGCCGGCATGGTCTCCCTCCCTAAGCAACCTCCTGTCCCAACACCCTCTGCCTCATTCACTCCACTCTGGTCACACTTGGCCTCCTTGCTGTTCCCTGAATCCACCAAATCCTGCCTTGAACCAGAACCACCACACACGCTGTTCCCTCTGCCTGAACACTCAGATCTCTGCATATGGCTTCATGTTTTGCTTCACTCAGCAATCCGCTCAAGATTGCTGCCTACGAGAGAATCCCTCCCCGTTACTCTCTCCCTTACCCTACTCTGTTTTCTACATTGCACTATGGCTTACATTGTTACATCTCAGACTTATAATTCACTTGCTTATTTGTCATCTGCCCCACCAGTAGGGAATTTCCATGACAGCACAGTGTCTCATCAGCATATCCTTGGAGGCCCAGAAAAGTGGCCTGGCACAGAGGAGATGCTGGAAAAACAGTTGTGGGATGAAAAAAAGAATAAATGCAGAGGATGAATAACTGAGAAGGGAAATTAAAGACACAAAGAAAAAGCCACCAATCCTCTACAGAGAGGCCCTATAATCTTGCAACATATCTGTCAAAATACAGCCAGACTCACCCCCGAAATGTCCACCTAACTTGGCCTGGGCTTCTTTAAATGTTAAGTTCTATGAGGTCATGAATTCACTTTCATAAAAATCAGAATAGCACAGAACCAATTTCTACAGATCAATGCTCATTTATCCATGTGGGACTTATCCACAGAAAATAAAGTTCCCATTTTGTTATTTCCTGTCACCCAGCTACTTCTGAGACACCTGCCCTCGTAGTCAGTTGGAATCAGTTTAAGGAGTGCAAAGTTATAGCAACCTGAGAGATCTTGATAGTAACCTGAGAGAAGCAGAATTAGAATCGTAAGCGTCCTTCAAATAAACACACACACACACCACATATTTATCTTATCTACAACAAATTCAAATGTGGATAACCTGGAGATAATCTATTCTTGGGATTATGTATGTGAGCACTCCCCTTTGGTAATATAAAGGTGTGCTACACACAACTATTTTTATATGTAATTATCACTGGTGAAGAAAGAAAACTTGTAATACATTTACCCAATCCTAAAGTTACTTAAGCACTGGGTCATGGACAGAATCCTTAAATGTATTGATTTCCACCTCCACTCGTAATGTGGCAGTCAGTCTCCTAAGAATCACGGTATCAGACAACTTACCAAAGGTGAGGAGGGCAGCGGAGAGCAGCGCTGCTGGGAGGGACCTGGACAGTTCCAATACAGTGAGGTAGGCAAAGGGGACCAGCAAGGAACCAAGGAAAGCACAGAACTATGGAAGGAAAAGAGAAGCAGTCAAACAGGAAGATAAGCATCAAAGATCTACTTGACTTGGTACAAATGACTGTTTAAAATAGAGGACCTTGGGGCAGACATGACTTGGTGACGTGAAATCACCTGGAATATCTATAAGCAAGAAAGGGGTGGTTTGACAGTGAATCGTCAAATCAAGCGACATGTGTGTGCCCACTGAGCACCATCGAACACTGACATGAAATCAGCAAAGTTCAGCCGAGGAGGTGTGCACAGGATGGCACACAGTTTAATAGGGGACTCTGAGGTGAGACTGACCCATCCACTGCTAGCTGTGACTAAAATTGTACATCTCTGAACCTCAGCCTCCCCATCTGTACCATATGAAAAATTAGAGTTCCTGCCTCAGAGACTTTTATCTGGAGATTAAATGAACTAGTTTTATCAGCAGACACAAAGTACTCAATAAACATTAGCTTCCACTATACAACTGTCAGTACAAGCAGAGAAAGACCTCTCTACATTGTTTTAATGTTTTAGAGAATTCTATTATTATTTCTGTTATTTCTCCCTTGGCTCTTTTCTTCAACCACACCAGAAATGACTCTTTAATCTACAGGTTGCATTTTGATTCTGGGAAAAAAAATTATCTGACACTTCAGTATCTGGAGAATTGTTTTTTTGTTTTGTTTGGAACCACCAGCTCTCTCTCCACCTTCCTACCCTGTCCATCAAGAGTAAATAGACAAGCCCGGGGAAATGGAAATTCTCACATGTGGGTTGTCACTTTTTGTCAACTGAAAGCAATGTGTCCTAGTGTGAAAGGAAATGAGGCTGTCATATTTGGCCTTCTCAATTTCCACAGCAAGTCCACAGTGAGTCAGGCCTCTACCCAACTACATATGCTATGTGATGTTCAAAAGTCATTAAGAAGACGCAGAACCACTTAAGAATATGAACCCGAGGGCTAGGGCAATCCTTATTTAATACAGTATAATATGACCATGCAAATCACCCAGTGATTAGCGCAAATAAGCACACAATATTTATCTAAAGTGCTTTGAGCTCCTTAAGGAACAGAGCTTGTAATTAAATGCAACCTGTTCTGAGAGCTCCACATCTGAAGTCAGGTTTTGTAGGTTTCATTTAGCTGCAGATAAGGGGTCCCCACAGAGTTGGGTACTTAGGCCCGGTGATGTTCCTCAAGGTGGGTGCTATGACTCGGGAAAAACACGTAGCCTCTTCTAAAGACTGGAAAACCCCTTTTGGGTGCCTGAAACCTTCATGGGGAAAGAAGCAGTGACCTGGTGTCGGGAGTATGGAATGCTGAGATCTTAAGAGCCCTCAGAGATAGGCAACTCTCCAGCAGTTGTGGCCACAGAGGGGAATGACGTGCAGCTTGCCAACGTGCTGAGGCCAATGTCAAGGCTGCAGGAGCCTCCTGGCTGCCTGGGTCCGAGGTTGTTCTCCAACCCAAAGTCTGAAGCCTCACATGGGCTGGGCAATAGGTGACTGTGTGCTTGCTCCTACCCATGAAATCTCTGTATAATCTGTGGCCTCCCTTAACATTCTTATCCATCGCAGTTCTGAATCTCTATACCTAAATCTCTACTACAGGATGGGGGTCCAATCTTCCTCCCCTCCCACTGCCACCCAAAGTCCCTTTGTCTACACCTGCCACCACTCCACGGCTCCAACTGTAAGTTCTGACTGGGTGTGACCCCAGGGTTCAGTCTAGAGCAAGTCAGGAAGCCTTACTCCTCTCATTCCCATGTAGTTGTGATGCTCATACTTGTCCCCAGGCTTCTGGAACAAAAAAGTCCCATCATATCCACTCAGGTAGCCAGCAAGACCTATCAGCATCTGAGGAGAGAAGAAGAACAAACAAAAAGATGATGAGAGACTTTTAAGATTCCTCTGTCCCCAAACTTCCCTCCAGCTGCCCCCAGAGTTTGGATTCCCATGATAACTGTCCATAGGAGTTGCCAATGTGACATTTTCTCCTGCAGCTGTTGCAGAGCAAAGAACCTTTTGTCTAAAGAGCCCTTTGCCTAAAACAAATCCTCTCTTGTGTTAAGGCCAAGTTCTTGGGAATAGTACAGATTGAACACTTAGGAAGAAAACCCCCACAATTTGAAGGGCAGTGCCAGGAAGGGCTCTCTCATTCAGCTTTCTTTCATTTGCTATGAAATAAAACATGACAGCTCATGGGGGAGGCCACAGGCAGGGGCTGATTCCTGGGAGACAGACCCTCTGAAAGGAAGACGAGATTCCAAGTCAGAATGAGGACGGAGAAAAGTGGCCAGGGAGTTCCACACCAGCAATAGGCAGAAGGGAAGAAAGGAGGTTAAAAGGATGCTAAGACAGACATATTTCCCCAGAGGAGAAAAGTCCCAACGGAAAAAAAATACCAAAAGACCAGAGACCAGCTTCTCCTACTTCCAATATTTCAAAGAAGGGCAACCCTGGCACATTCCAAACCAGAACAAAGCAGATATTACACTAAGACGGAGATTTGTGAATCCTTCAAAATGTTCAAGAAGATCAGCTTCTTCATTTCTACCTTTCCAACTTCCAACAGCATAAAAGTCTCTTTTCCACACAAGCAATCAGAAGCTGCGAAGCCATGAAAACTGTCAGCAAATACCAAGCAATTTTAACACCAGGCTGCCCAGCCCGGACACCTGTGCTCCAGTTAAGCTGTGCAGAGGGACAGAATATTCTGGCTGTATTAAGAAAGCCCCTCCCTGCAACACTGCTTGTGGGGCTTGGGTTTGGACCATGAACCAGCTCCCTTTTTACTATAAGTAGCTCTAACCGAAGTTACTCTCTGTGGTTCCATGTCAAGGAATAGAGGCCAAAATTCAACAGTAAATGATTATAAAGTCCTGTTGTGGGGGGGCGGGGGGGAAGGAATCCTAGGGCTCAGAAGTTAATGTAACTATTTAACATAAAGTAAGAGGAGGTATTGAAAAGACAGAGCCATCCAAATACCTAGATGAACAAAAACTGACAGGAGACAATCAAATGCATGCCCCCTTCCCACCTGGGATCTCAGAGGATAAATTCACAAATCCACCTGGTGCTGGTATAAATTCCCAGACTACTTGGCAGGTCTGGTATAGTGAAGAAATGCACGATGGTTTGCATCTCAGCTCTCTGATTGCAGACAATACCTAATATGTCTGAGCTACAAATAGTAAAATCTCCCTTGCAGTGGGAGGGTAGGGTTGTGAAGATCAGAGACAGTGCAATAGGTCAAACCCCTGGCACTCTGCTGGGCACTATGCCAAGCCCTCAGGAGACAGCTGAAATTCAGTTCCCTCACGGTTAAAAGTAGCCCTGAGCTAATTTCCTAACTAACTCATTCCAATCAATAAGAAAAGCAAATTCTATAGGAAACAAAACAATAATGGCTAATAAACATATGAAGAAAATATTCAAAGCAACTCATAAAGACATGCAAATGAAAACAGTGACACACCATTTTTTATTCTCAAATTGGCAAAGTCCTGAAAGTATTATCATACCAGCGCTGGCAATGGTGTGGGAGAAGCAAGAACCCTCATGCACTGTTGGTGGGAATATATAACACTACAATATTTTTGCAGAAAAACTTAGCAATAGCTAACACAAATTTAAATGTGTGTATCCTTTGACTCTTTTTAATTTGGCTGCTAAGAACCTTTTAGATACACCTGCACAACTATGAAAAGATAAATGTACAAGGATGTTCATTGCAAAATCTTTGTAATGGCTGAAAACTGGAATTAACATAAATGTCCACCAATTAAAGATGGGCAAAATAATTTGTGGTACATCTGTATAATGGAATAATACATAGCCATTAAGATGAATGGAGTACCACAGTTATAAAAAAGGATGAGATCATGCCATTTGAGAAAGCATGGATGGACCTAGAGGGTATTATGCTAAGCCAGACTAAAAAAGACAAACACTATACGATTCCACTCATAAATGGAATCTTTAAAAAATGAATAAATAAACAAAAACAGATTCAGAACTATAAATACTGAGTACAAACTGTCGTTGCTAGAGGGAAAGGAGGGTGGGATGGGCAACGTGGGTGAACGGGAGTAGGAGATATAGGCTTCCACTTATGGAATGAGTAAGTCATGGAAATAAAAAGCACAGCATAAGGACTACAGTCAGTGATATCGTAGGAGCAATGTAACAGGACAGATGGCAGCTACACTGGCGGTGAGCACAGCATAACACAGAAACTTGTCAAATCACCATGTTGTATACCCGAAATTAATGTAACATCGTGTGTCAACTATACGCAAACTTAAAAAGTAAAAAATACAATAAAATATATTTTTAAAAAATGGAGTGAATTTTTATGTGCTAATGTGAAAGAAGTTGAGATATATCCTGTTTAAAATACAACTTGCTGAACAACTTTAGTTTGGTCCTATTTGTATATAAGTTGTTCATGTGCACATCTATAAATATACTCATGTATCAGTAAAAAGAATTTCTTTTTTTTAAAGATTTTATTTATTTATTTGTCAGGGAGAGAGGGTGCACAAGTGGGGGGAGGGGCAGAGGAAGAAGCAGGCTCTGCACTGAGCAAAGAGCTCAATGTGGGACTCGATCCCAGGACCCTGGGATCACAACCAAAGGCAGATGCTTAACCAACTGAGCCACCTAGGCAACCTGCATAAAGAATTTCTAAGAAAATTTATATAAGAAACTAATAGAAATGTGGGGAGAAGTAGATCTTGACCTTTTACTTCCTTCTGTGTTAATCAAATGTTTCACTCTATGCAGGCATTTCTATTTCCTCCAGGGCTGGGGGCCGGCAGGGAGGGACAGCTAGCAGGCTCAGTACTGCAGGAGAAAACATCCCATTCACAGCTTCAAGGGGCTTTTGATTCTTTGACTGGCTTGGCCTTAGAACCTAGGAAAGCTACTCTGTTCATCACTCTCTCTCAACCAGGTAGAGCACAGGACCACCGGGGGATAAGTTGGGGGGGCAGACGGACCGAACTCCCCAGGGGCAGCCTTATAAAGAAGCCTCACATTTCCCCCTACCCACAGGGACCAGATGGGAGCCAGGGGAGGCTTAAGTAAAAACAAATCAGTCAGTGTTCCACGGGCATGTCTTCCCCGTGCCAAGCACTAGGGGACTCCAAACACAGACAGGCCGTCCGCACCTGAAACCCTGGGCTGGGTTCCCCTAGGGGAAAAAAAAGACATCTCCTCCACCAGGGGGGCTGGTTCCCCAGCTAGCCCAGTGCAAACACTCAACACATTCTATTGCTTATTCCTACAGTAGCTAACAGATACCATCTAAGTGGCGGGACAAGGCAAGTATCATGAAGCAGTGTGCTGTAACAGTTGAAAGTAGACGTTAAACCAGCCAGAAACTTGACTCTGTCACTTAGCCAGCTTTCTTCCCTATGGCAAACTTCTTTTCCTCTCTGTGCCCCAGTTTCCCCATTGGCAAAATGGGGATACAACAGTACCTACTTCATAGGTTAGTCTGAGAGAGAAGATAATCACCAAAAGTGACTGGAACAAAGTTTTCAATTGCTCTGATTTTTATTCCTATTATCTTATAAAGGAGAAAGGAATAGGCATAATATTTTCCACTCCAGCTCTGGGCTCAGAGCGAATTTTGAAATAGGTCACTATCCCACCTCCTTCTCCACCCCTCTCTGGTCTCTACCCAATGCTCTCGTACCCCTAAGCCCACCTGTCCCATATCACCACCCCTGCCTCCCATGACCTCTGCCTTTATCCCCAAGTGCTCCCTGCTCCAGGATCATGCCCCCACTTTGTAACGGACCAAATATTGCCTCTTGGTGCTAAAGATCTCAGCCTCCAGTTCGGAAGAAAGGGCTGATCCATGAGCCTTCTCAGAGGTCATTCTTTTTAGAGGAGTAAAATGAATTCTCACTGTGGGATTTCTAATTGTAAAACATGTGAGAGGTACAGGTCAAACAATGTGCCTGTTGGGAGTGGGGGAGGAAAAGGAGTTTTGCTCTCCTGTCGACAATGAGCTCCTCTCAGCAATCTGCTTTATGCAGTGTACTCCTTCTCTCCATTGTTTACTTCTCTGAACTGAGGTGAAATTCATATACTATGAGACTCACCATTTTAAAGTGTACAGCTCAGTGGTTTCTAGTATATTCCCAAGGTTGTACCACCATCACCTCTACCTAATTCCAGAACACTTCATCACTCCAGAAGAGATTCCCTAACCATTTGCAATCAGTCGCTAACCCCCCTTCCCCACCAGAACGTGGCCACACTACTAATCTAGTTTCTGCTTCTATGGATTTGCCTATTCTAGACATTTCATATAAATAGAATCATATACTATTGTGGCCTTTATGTCTAACATCTTTCACCTAGCATTATGTTTACAAGACTCAGCCACGTTGTAGCATGTATCAACACTTCATTCCCTTTTTATGGCTGAATATTCCATCATATAGATATGCCATATTTTGTATATCAATCCATTGGTTGATGGACTCCCTCTCCATTTCTGGGCCCAGAGAACTCCTCAAAACATCAAAGATTTTCCACAGAAGCAGCTGGCCTGGAATGTCAGGGATTTCTTTCCACAAGCCCAAGATTCAAATCCAAAATTGAGGTTTCACTCCCACCCTTCGAAGAGAGCTGTCAGTCACCACATTGCTCACCTTTCCCAGAGGTGGGTGCACATCAAAGAAAAAGGTGCGGTTGATATAATAGCTTCCCATTTTTCCAAAGTGAGTCTCATCCCAACTAAGGGAAAAACAGAAAGAGAAATGAGAATTTTAAAATTATCATACAACCTGGGGTGCCTAGGTTGCTCAGTCCATTAAGCATCTGCCTTCTGCGCAGGTCATGATCCCGGAGTCCTGGGATCCAGCCCCACATAGGACTCCCTGCTTCAATTGGCTTGTTCCTCTCCGTCTGCCCCTCCCCTCACTTCTACCCGCACACTCTCTCTCTTTCTCTGTTTCTCTCTCTCGTTCTCTCAAATAAATGAAATCTTAAAAATAAATAAATAAATTATCATGCAATCCAAATAACCATAATAAAGCATGGTTAAAATAAAAGGCTATGGGGGCGCCTGAGTAGCTCAGTCGGTTAGGCCACTGCCTTCAGCTCAGGTCATGATTCCAGGGTCCTGGGATTGAGGCCCACATCAGGCTCCTTGCTCAGCGGGGAGCCAGCTTCTCTCTCTGCCTCTGCCTGCCTCTCTGCCTGCTTGTACTTTCTCTCTCTTTCTCTCTCTCTGATGAATAAATAAATAAAATCTTTAAAAAAAAAATCAAAGACTATGGGATACCTGGGTGGCTCAGTCGGTTAAGTGTCTGCCTTCAGCTCAGTTCACAATCTCAAGAGTCCTGGGATCAAGCCCTGGGTCAAGCTTTGGGCTCAGTGGGGAGATTATTTCCTCCAAAAAACCAAAGAGTAGGGGTGCCTGGGTAGCTCAGTCATTAAGCATCTGCCTTCAGCTCAGGTCATGATTCCAGGGTCCTGGGATCAAGCCCTGCATCAGGCTCCCTGCTCAGCGGGAAGCCTGCTTCTCCTTCTCCCACTCCCCCTGCTTGTGTTCCCTCTCTGGTTGGCTGTCTCTCTCTCTCTCTCTCTCTCTCTGTCAAATAAATAAATACTTACACACACACACACACACACACACAGAGAGACTATAAGTTTCAAGCAATTAATGAGAAAATTTAGATTAAAAAATCATTGACACATTAGGGCATCTGGCTGGCTCAGTTGGTAGATTATGCAACTCTTGATCCTGGGGTCATGAGCCTTTTTTTTTTTTTTTTAAAGATTTTATTTATTTGTATATTTGAGAGAGAGTACACGTACGCATGCAAGCTGAGGGAAGGACTGAGGGAGAGGCAGAGGGAGAGAGAGAATCCTCAAGCAGACTCCCACTGAGAGTAGAACCCCACATGTGGCTCGATCTCACAACCCTGGCATCATGACCTGAGTCAAAACCAAGAGTCCCATACTTAATCAACTGAGCCACCCAAGAGGTCATGAGTTTGAGCCCCACACTGGAGATAGAGTTTACTTAAAAATAAAAATTTTTTTTACACAAGTGATTTGAGGAAGCAAGATATCAGGCTGATTATTTTTGTTATTTTTTAAAGATTTTAATTATTTATTGGTCAGAGAGAGAAAGAGGGAGAGGGAGCACAAGCAGGGGGAGCAGCAGGCAGAGGGAGAAGCAGGCTCCCAGCAGAGCAAAGAGCCCAATGCAGCACTCCATCCCAGGACTCTGGGATCACAACCTGAGCTAAAAGCAGATGCTTAACCAACTGAGCCACCCAAGTGTCCCCATCACACAGATTGTTAATCTTCATTTAGACAGATGAGAAAAGTTAGCAAATATTTACCAACCAGTTATAAATTTGAGCAAAATCTCTACTTATTCTGTAGCTTGAGTTTCTATTTATTTTAAAAGACCAGAGTTTTTCTATAATACAGAAAGTTTTGTAGTAAGAGTTGTTTTCCAAGTCTGTTACCTTCTGACCCTGAGACTACTTTTGCTGCTAGGAAATAGACTACTATTGCTATTACAAACTACACCATGGGCTACTGATTAGTAATGGCCTACAAACTATGGTTGTCACAGGAGTCTAATCTTGCTCATTAACTTTTTGATAATTAACCTGCTGAACCTGAACTCACTGAGCTTATTATAATGAACTAACCAGTATATAAAAATTGAGTTAAGAGCCTATCTATTAGTTATTCTCATTGCATAAATTGTTTTGCATGTAGATAAGTGATTCTAATACATTAGATTTTAAACACAATGCAAAAATCTTGTTCTTCCACACAACCATATAAACCTTTTCGCATCCTACACAAAGACTGAAGGGCAGCAGCCCAGTTATCCTGTATGGCCTGGCCATTCTGTCAGTTCCTCTCCGCAGCCCAGAAAAGCAGGTGCTTTCTAGTGACCAGCCATTCCCAGGTCAGCTTTCATAAGCAACTATTACCAACCTCCAATGTAAGGAGCTAACCATGCTTTTCCCCAAAATGTAGGGTTCTTTTTTTTTTTCCCTTTAACTTAGTGGGTCCAATAGATAGGCAGAAAAGTAAATCTACTTCTGAATCTGCTATCTGCTAAACATTCTGCTTAGCAGGGATTGAGGACAGTGGTATGGTGATGTCAAAGAGAGAAATAACTTGCAAGCGTGTGACCAAACTGATTTGCAGAAAGAGAAATCAGTCTCAGCTCCACCACTTACTGACAGCACAACCCGCCAAAGTCAGTCACCCTCTCTGGATCCCGGTTCTTATCTACACAACGAAGACAACAGAAATATTTGCCATGTCCCCCTCACAGGGAAGCATTAGAACTCAATTCAAAAGACATATGTGAAAGAACTCTGTAGACTATAAAGTCCCACACATTTAAATCATCCCAACTGGACATTATGTAAACTGTACCAACTCTTGTGGTCAGTTTTGAGGTCTGTTTGGAAACATGAGATTTTTTACTTCAAAATTTTCCCAAGTAAAACTAGTAGTAACATTCATATTTCTTCTCACTTTTATTGTGTTTGTGTTGGGAGAGACCATCCTCCCCGGTTCTCTCTTGTTCCTATAGACCTTGCAAGGTATGCCAAGGACGTCCTGGCCACTCCTTCCTCGGGCCATTTCTCAGGGGTATGTTTGCAGAAAACAACCTTGAGGGAAGAGTTAGCACCTCCCTCTGGGACAGACAGCATTCTCATTTACTGCTTGTTATAAAACAGTGGATTCCCCAAGCTCAGTATCCCTCAGCTCCGATACAACCTGCTCCTTGTGCAGGCAGTCACTCAGACCCATGGCATCACATGGGACTTCGGGGGCAAGAGGAACGGATGCCCGCGGGCCGCCGTGCACCCTGCTTGCTGTGCCCTGAGAAATGAAGTTCTTTGTCTCCGACTCTGTACTTTGCCATCTGCTGGCACCCATAAAACAATGACAGGCTAACTCACGAGTTTGCAAGATGGATAAAACAAAATCCCAGACCCTGACAGTCCATGGTCACAAGCATAGGATGTGAGACATAGGTTTCTGTAAGAGAAAGGACAATGAGTGGGGGATGGAATCTGGTAAGTGAATGCCCTTGCCCGAGTGGTGGGCAAGGAAGATAGAGAGAGTGTCCCACTGTCCTACCTATTAATGAGGCTGAATGGACAAAGAAACTGTTTGAATGCTGCCTTGGTTACTGCTCACTCTCTTCTGGGAAAAATAAGGAGATGTAATCATGACCATGGGGCAGCAAGCCTAGCAGCCCCAGCCAAAAGGCAATATGGATGTGGCTACTAAATCAAGGAGTCTCCAAAGTTTACAAAAATTGGTGCTAGCAGGAAGGACCTTGCTATTCAACACAGAATTTTGGGCAAAATGAAAACACTGAAAAGTCCTGGGGTGAGCTGTGTGCTCAAGACAAAAGTAAACGTGCCTTGCTTAGTCACTCACAGCCACTCTCTCCCTCTGTGTCCCATGATCTCTCCGCCTCTACCACAACCTCAGCTGTGTTAAAAGGAGTAAGATGATTAAGGGTGGGGCCAAGGTTTCCCAGTCCCTAAAGGGGACTGAAGGCCACACACATGCATCCTAGGATGCTGGGGAACTCCAGAGAAAAGAGGGACTCAAACTCAGGGCAGGGGTCCACATCTCCAGCTCACTCAATCCCATGGCAAGGAGAGAGACAATCTGCTAGACACAGGGGTTACCAGATGTGCTAGGGACTACAGGGAGAGCCCTAGCAGTGTGTACAGGGGCTGAAAGAAAAGAGCCCTTAAGCCCAGGGGCTCACCATAGAAGTACACTGACACACGGAAGTACACTGAAAAGGCGTGCCAAGCTTATGTAGGGGCTAAAGGAAAGAAAAAAGCTTCCTCCCACTACCTGCATCCAGCACTCCACACTCTCCACTGGAGAACAGCATAATCTCTGGATGGCTGCCATTGTAGTTACTAATGCAGGCCTATTAGACTCATAAGTTCAAGGGGGAAAAAGCACCCAAATTCAACTGATAGGTTTGAGCCAGCTCCTAGTGGGGAAGGGAAGGTAAAATGACCTTGTAGGTAGGGCCCTTGTACTACTATAGTGGCTCCCACTGTGGAATGTATACTGACAAAGAGGATTATCCCATTCATGGACTGCCATGTGGTCCAGGAGGAATACTATCGATTCCAAGAAGAGAAAGGGAAATCACAGCCTTGAAGACATAATGGCAGTTGGAGCCAAGAAAGGCCATTCTTCAGGATAACAGCACCATCTGCTGGACGCAGGTACCAAGCACACACTTTTTAAAAGCACAGCTATCAACCTACTACTAAGCTTTTACTGAAATTGAGCGCCTAACGGCCTTAGGATTCTTTGGCTTGATATTGCCACCTTGGGGTGAGTCGACTTGGAATATAAGGCTAACAAAAGGCTCAATAAGACTTGATGGTGAAATGGAAGTGATCTAGCTGGCCTGGCCCTAGAGGCATCCTGACTTTATAAGAGGAGGTGGGAGGTCCCACTTTGAGAGAAACTATCTTCCATTCCACTACCGAAAGCAAAACCACTAGCTCAGTGGAGCCTTGATGCACAGAGGTTTCCTCTCAAGGCTTGTGCCTTGTTCATGGATAGCGTTCATTGGGCAGCAGCAACCATCCAGTCCCAGTGACAACTCTGGAAGGCCAACTGCAATAAGGGTTGATGGGTACAATGGGCTCAACACCCTTGCCTTGCACAATATTCCCGAGAAACAGACAAGTTCTATTTTTATTGGCTCTTGGGCTTTTGCCATTAGTCTATCTTCTGGTGTGCCACCTAGAGGACTATATACTGAGAAATTTAAATCACCCCTCTTTAGAGCCAAGAATTGTGGCAATACAGTCATGGCTGCCTGTCAGTGGGACAATCTGGATCACTCGTATGGACGCCCACAGCAAGGATCAGGATTCTGTTAAGACTGACTGAAATCAAGCTGCAGATCAAGCCTGTACCAAACAGACTACTGCCATTGTCACCAGGATTCATCAATGCTCCACATGAGGAAACACATCTACCATCATGGACTGGGCATGAAGTAAAGGGCTATATGTTTCTGAAGCAGAAGCCATCACTGCATTGTGCTGACTTGTGACTCCTGCCAAAAGTTGGCCAATTCATCCTGCAATAAAGGAGGCCACAATGGGGGCATTGGCCCTGCCTGCTCCAAGGAAACTGACTGTATTAGGATTTTGTATCCCTCTCTGGGCTATCATTGGCACTTCACTGCTACTGACACTTTTTCAGGTTAACGTGCTGATGCTGTTCCAGTCCAACCATCTAACTCCACATATGTTACTGCAGTACTTGAAACTAAACTATGTCATTCCAAACCATCTAAGTCTGACAATAGCGTACCTTTTTTTTTTTTTTTGCAATGGCCACAAAATAATGAGCCAACAGTCAGTCGAAGTATCTGATGGCATTCCACACTCCCTACCCTCCAAACGCATTTGATATTGTTGAGCACAGAACAATCTTCTCAAAATGATTTCTGACTCTACTTCCCTGACCTCCTCCTGGTTCACACACCTTGGTAAAGCAGTTTTGTCACCTAATGCAGTCATCACCAGAAAGGGTTCATCTCCTCTTGGACGAAAGAGGTGGAGGGTTATATAAACCCATATTTTGAAAATTTTAGATTCTTCCTGGACCATACCTGGACATGATTTGTCTTTCTTTCCCCCTAACAACTGCTGATCAGCGGGGTGGAGGAGGGAGGGAAGATTCAAACTTAATCCAGTATGTTGATATTCATGCTGCCTCCTGCCCTGTGAGTAATGAGTCCTTTGTCTCTGACCCAGGAGTCTCATATCTTCTGCCAGCATTCATGAAACAATAACAAACGAATTTATTCACTTCCAAGTAGGACAGCCCAGGTAGTTTGTTAGCTGGCTTGCTTTTTGGTCAAGGAGTTCCGTTTTTAACATCCCCTACACTAACCTTCTAGTCAGGGATACTGACAAAACATGTTATCACTTGTTGGCTAAACAAATAAACCATTTTCAGATTGCGCTAAACTTTTCCTCCTTCTAGCTGGAGACTTTTTTTACTCTTATCTCATAAAATCTAAGTCCTACAAAATAAAATCTTTAAGAAAACAAGTCTCTCCTCACAAGATGACCCCAGACCTGCTTCCTGAGACCCCTGCCACCATCTCTGGACACACAAATTGTCCCTGCTCCCAAGGATGATTTTCACCTCCCCTGATGCCTGGAAATCCTGCAGATTAGGAACTAAGGCCTTAGGAAATTCTGTACGAAGAATTTCCAATTCTCCTTGGAAGGTCAAAGCCACAGTCTGAGAATCCTCGGATCCTAAGGAATCCTAATGCCACCCACGGGAGCAAAAATGACTCCTCTCACATAAACTGCACCTGGCCAAAGCAACCTGTTTCTACCTGTTTCTCCAGCGCAGCCCCGCCCCTCCCCCTGTGATTCCCGCCCCCTCCGTGCCCCCGGGCCAATCAGAGGGTGCATCGTTCCCACCCCGTTGCCATGGGACCCGCCGAGTCCCTCCTGTCACTCACCAGATGTGCGGCGGCTCGTCCAGACGGTGGAAGCGGGTGGCGAAGGACAGCAGCGTCACCAGGGCCAGCAGGGCCCACCGGCCAGCTGCCTCGAAGCGCCGCGAGCCCCGAGCAGGCCGTTTGGGGCTCCGCGCTGCAGGCTCGGCAGCCACGTCCGGGCCCACAGCCCTAGTAACCTGGGGCCCACAGCGGCCCCGCCGGGGACGCAGCTCAGACCCTGCGGGGCCTCCGCCCACCGCCGGCGGCATCCTGCCTCTCCTCAGGATCGCCCTCCGGCTCGCCGACACGCTCGATCTTGCGAGCCGCCCCGCCAAGAACTCACTCAGAGGCACCTCGGGGTGCCCTGGGAAATGTAGTTCCCTGCGCCGGCAGCGGGCCCCGGGGCCCCGGCCTCTGGGCTGCGAGGGGAGCGCGGTCGCCGTCCGGGCCGCTAGGAGGCGGCTGGTGGCGCAGAGCATGACGGATCGCCCGGGCCCGGCGGGCCGGCCGGAGAGGAAACGGGCTCAAGGAACTGCAACTCCCAGCAGCTTCGGGAGGGGGGGCGTGGCGGCAGGGCGGGGCGACCCAGACGGGACCGTAAAGATCATTCTAGCCCAACCCCTCGCTTTACCACGACGGAAGCGCTGGTTCTGACGTGTCGGGGCCTCACTGGGCCTCAGTACGGGACCAGTCGGAGAGTCCCAGGCGCGAAGTCTCCCGGCCTGGAAGAAGGGTGGCCGGAGCTGCGAGATGCAAGCCGGGAAGGTCTGTGCCACACATCCGGGGATAGGGGCGCCACTGAGAATGAGAAACCCTGAGGGGCGGGGGTCAAAGGTGCGCCGCTCGCCCCCTTCCTACGGCTTCCACAACGCACAACTCCCGGCATGCAGAGCGCCTCGCGGGCTCTGCTCTGCGCCTGCGCGCTGCCCGCTTCCAGCTGCTCGCTGGGGCTTGTAGTCCAGGGAGGTTGGGGCTGCGGGCGGCTCACGCTCTTGGGAGTGTGCGGGGCGCTGTGGAGTCGCTGTACTCTCGCGCTTCACCTGTCTCTCACTGTCCCTTCTGCCGGGCTTTCCAGACGTCGTCCCTTGCCTCCCTCTTCCTTACATCCCGCGTGCTGTTTCCTGGCCAGTCGGCCCGACGGGTTCTGTTAGCGTAGGGCCTTCCCGGGTGGTTTGCACTTTGAGAGAGCTCTTGGGGTTGGGGGGTGGGGAGGCAGTAGCACTTTAAGTCCTCTCCATCACCTGGGGAGTTTCCCTGGGGTCATCTTTGGGGGAAGGGACCCAAGAATCTGCATGCTTAATAAGCGCCCCCATGAACGTTTTGAAGTCTTTTTTTTTTTTTTTTTTTTTTTTTTTTTGAAAGAGAGATCACAAGTAGGCAGAGAGGCAGGCAGAGAGAGAGGGGGAAGCAGACTCCCCGTTCAGCAGAGAGCCCGATGTGGGGCTCGACCCCAGGACCCTGAGATCATGACCTGAGCTGAAGGCAGAGGCTTAACCCACTGAGCCACCCAGGCGCCCCCGTTTTGAAGTCTTATTCTAGTTTGAGAACCACCAAGGTGGCAGGCACACTGGGTGGAATTAGCATCACCTTAATAATGCATAGCTCTCCCACTCCCAAATGGGATTTTAGGAGTCTTTCTCTCAAAACGATGAGTGAGGGGCGCCTGGGTGGCTCAGTGGGTTAAGCCGCTGCCTTGGGCTCAGGTCATGATCTCAGGGTCCTGGGATCGAGTCCCACATCGGGCTCTCTGCTCAGCGGGAAGCCTGCTTCCTCCTCTCTCTCTCTCTGCCTGCCTCTCCGTCTACTTGTGATCTCTGTCAAATAAATAAATAAAATCTTTAAAAAAACGATGAGTGAGAAATGGTTTTAAAATAAAATCTGCTAGAGTGGTCAGAATCCATATTTGAATTGGAAATGAAGTTCCTCTAAGAGTGGTAATGAGATGAATATTTTACTTGGGCTTTAAAACAAGTGCAAAAAGGATCGCGGGATAGTTGATATAGTTATCACTGGTAAGAGGAAGAGCAGAAGGTGCTCGATGGTCCATAAGCAGGAAACTGGAGAGCAGTGGCATTCACAGTGACTCTGTGGTCACCCTCAGTACAGGTCAAGATGGAACATTTAGTATTCGGTAAGGCATTTCTCCAGGGATTCCAGGCTAATGTCTGAGGCTCTCCAGTGGTCCCATCCCTCACCAGCAGTCCCGGCCAAATGGCCCCAAGGGCCCTTCCAGCCTGATCAGACAAGGACAGGGATGTACCTTGGAGTAGGGTACATCTAATTTTGGCCTCCTAACTCCTCCCCTTATAAAGACACCTGCTGTCTATCACCTGCTCTCCGAACCAGGACCATCTTTACTTTCCCCACAAAAGTGTCTCCAGTACAGGCTGGAACTTCCAGACCTGGAAACCAACCTGGAAGGGCCTAGGTTTCCACAGTGCCCTTGCCCACCTAGAAGATGAATTGGTAGTTCAGGGATGGTAAAGCAGGGTCACAGAGCAGTTTGATGTGCTGAGGGGTGCAGAAGGCAGAGGGAACTTGAGTGAAATATCTGTAGTGAGAGGGATGGTAGACAGGGGTGATCTAGAAGTTCTGCTGTGTTCTCTCTCCCTCATCATATGGATACACCTACGTCTTCCCAAAGATGCATGAGAGCTAATTACTGATAACTCCATCCTGGGCCCTGCTTTGAAATGCTGATCACTCAAGAAGCACCGGGAAGTTTAATGTTGAGTCTCTTAAACTTCAGATCAGAGATCACACACTCAGCCTCCTCCAGTGCCGCAAGGTAACAAAAATGAAAGAAGAGGGCCAGGTAGGGCACAGGGCAGATCAGAGAGGGCATGCCATGACTGAAAGAGGCTGTTAATTGTCTCCTATCAGTTGTTGCTACTCAGGAACCCAAGACCACTGTCTCTGCCTTTGTAAGAAAAAACAAATAGGATTTGTATATGAAACATCCTGATTTGTTGATGTTGGCAACCAACTGAAACATTTTTTTTAAAAGATTTTATTTATTTATTTGACAGACAGAGAGATCACGAGTAGGCAGAGAGGCAGATAGAGAGAGAAAGAGGAGGAAACAGGCTCTCAGAGAGCCTGATGCGGGGCTCGATCCCAGAACCCTGGGATCATGACCTGAGCTGAAGGCAGAGGCTTTAACCCACTGAGCCATCCAGGCACCCCCTACTGAAACATTTTTAAGTACACGTACACCACACAGAACACTGTGGGCTGTCCTCTTGTGACCTTGGCTTTGGAGTCAATGGGCTTATCCCCTCAGCTATTTTTATGAGATCAGCTGAGAACCTAGAGGGCTGGTGGGTGGTGAGCTGAAAGAGAGGGTCACCAAAGCGTCAAAAAACTAGAATTCCTGGTCTTTCTGTCACTGCTGGAAGGAATTCAGCTATCATTTTAAGGCAACCCTTTGTTTTACGGATGAGGGAGAAAAGACTAGGGATTAAGGAGGCAGGGATCTGCCCAAGGTCATGCAGAGCGGGTTCCTGCCTTGGGATCAGACCCCAGGTACACCAGCTCTCAGCCCAGAGCACCACGTGAACTGCTGCTTCCAAACCAGGACACCAAACCTGGTTCCATCAGGAACAGAAAAAGCTTCCCACAGGTTGAAAAGAGTCGCCCTTTCTGACCACAAAGTTTTCCCGAAGCCTGTCTCACCCAGCTTCCCCATTGGCTCATGGGATCCCACCCCCTTCAGGGTTCCTCCCCCTGCTCTGCAAGTTCTGGGAGAGGGGCCATTCCCTGAGAGGCCAAGGGTCACCACAACACCATGACTGAGTCTAACAAGGTAAGGAGGGCACTTGCAGGCTGGCTGCCCCTTTGGGGGCCCCTTGGACTTCAGGGATGCATGACTGGACAGTTTGGAGCTGAGGAACCCCCCATAACTCCCAAGGCCTCTGACCCAGAGAGCTCTGAGTCTTCCTGAGGTGCGGAAGGAGGCCTGGTGGGATGGGAAGAAACCACTGGCTTGGAGCCCCCTGGCTGAGGGCTGTTGCCGCCCCAGTAGGCCCTAGGGGCAGAGAACCCCATGAGCACGGGTTAATGTGCATCCTTATCCTGTCTCTCCTCAGCCCATCCTCTACTCCTATTTCCGGAGCTCCTGCTCATGGAGAGTTCGAATCGGTAAGAGCCCAGCCTCCACCAAGAGCCTCGGTGGGAGGGGATGGGGGTAGAGAGAGCCCTGAGCAACAAGCTGGCAGGGAACAGAGGTCTGTTCTGTTAGGTCACCTCTGCCTAGGAAGTCCAACAGGAGGAGAGTGGGGGGAGCAGGAAGGGTGGTTGTTTCTTCCTTCTCCCACACTGCTTTCCAAAGCCACTTAGCAACCACGCTTAAAGCAGGTTCACAAAACCCAGAGGTGCTTGGTAACTGGCAGGGAACAGCTGGCCTTCCTCAGTTCTTATCTCATTTCATCTGGCACATTAAACAACTGGTCTGTGTCAACCCCGGAGGCTTCATGGAAGTGGAACTTGGGGCCCTCCTGTGTAGTCCCAGCTTGACCCTGCCCTCCCTCAGCTTAACACAGCCCTTGGCGAAGATCATTGGCATCGCTCATACTGGGGGAAAACCGTGCCGAGTGTTTTTATGTACATGATTCCTAGGGTGTCAGCGGCACCCTAGGAGGGAGACATCATTATTGTCCCCATTGTACAGGTGAGGAAACTGAGGCACAGGGACCTTAAATAACTTGCCCAAGGCTATGTAGCTAGCAAGAGGCCAAGATGGAATTCAAACAGGTGGTCTGACTCCAGAGTCCATGTTCTTAACTCCTGCACCATGCTGCCTGGCAGATGAGGAGACAAAGGCAAAGAGGCTCATTAACTCAGCAAGCTCCTTGTCCCGCACAGCTAGCAAACACGATGCAATCTGAACGCGAGCAGTCTGTCTCCGGGAGTCTGGCCCTCACCGGGCAGCCATCCACCGTGACCCTCCCCCACCCCACCGTCACTTGGTGTCTGCTGGAATCAGTAGGCAAGAGCACTGGGGGGCCAGAGGACACATTTCTCCCACGAAGATACCTCCCCTGTGCCCAGAGCCTCTGCCCTAGCTGGCCAGATGCGAGCCACAGGAGTGCTGTCTCTGCAGGGCTGCCGTGGCTCCCGCCACTTGTCCACAGTGGGGCTGACCAGCGCAGAGGAGGAGCCCCATGTCTCCCAGGCTCTCTTCACACTGTGACACGTCTCCACCTCCTCCCCTCACTCCTCCAAGACCATCATCCCCATGTTTCAGTGCATGTCTGCACACGTACACACACACACAGTCTTCACTTGTTTGACTTGCTTAGGAAAAGGATCGAAGGGCACAGAGAGGAAATCTGGTCACTGGGAGTCACAGCAAATGCCATGAGACCACCACAGAGCCCCGAAGCTCTGCTTGGAGTCAGTAGTCAACAAGTCTGAGGACAGAGAAAACGGATGAGAAAGGGATCCTTCTCTGGCGGGTGTCACCCCTCCCTGTGTGTGTGCTTTGGGGTCACCTGAGCCCCCTTCCTTGGCTCTTGGATGCCTTCCTGAGGCAATAATTGCACGTCTCTGGCAAACAAGTACTATTCCAGGACCTGGAGGGGGCAGAGGTAATTAGGACACCTCCCTGCTGCCCTCCAGGAGCTCCCGGGCTGCCCGGGCACATACCTGGACAGCACCGCCCAGGGACACGGGGACCCCATGGGGGAGTGGAGAGTAAAGCTCTGAGAGTTCAGGGGCAAGAGAGGCAGAGCATCAGAGACCTGGGGCAGGGGAACAGGTGGTGACCTGGGAAGCTAGAGAGACGGGGGAGGCCAAGCTGGGCCTTGATCACCTAGCAGCGTGGAGAAAGACACCTCCCTTGGCAGCTTCATGGAGCCCTTGGAAGTAGAGCCAGAAGCTGTCCCCTGACTCTGCTGTCTCTCGTAGCTCTGGCCTTGAAAAGCATCGACTATGAGACCGTACCTATCAACCTCATAAAGGATCAGGGACAGCAGGTGAGGAGGCTGCCCCCAGGCCACCATGTGGGAGTTAGAAGTCTTGGAGAGGGACCCAGCAGATTTCTGCCCCCCAAGAGGTGAAGCTGCTGGTTCTCCCTGGTGGGACTGGGGGTTGGGGGGGTGAACAGGCTGTGCAGCTCAAGGAGCCATGGGAAAGAGCCCAGGTTCCAGGCCCTATGCCATGGCCTGGTCTCTCAGTGCCTGACCCCAGGTGAGTGGGTCCTTGCCCTATGCTGGGACCCCTGAACGTGCCCTAATGGCCACAGTGTGAGGTACAGGGAAAAACACATAGCTGGGCCATTGGGGTGAATCCTGGAGCTCAGCAGCCACTGGCTTTGGGGATACGGCCTGGATCCCCTAGGCATCTCTCTGGAGCCAGGACCTTCCCCAGGGGAGGAAGGTGCAGGGGGGCTGCAGGCCTCAGGTCTTCCCGTTGGCCTGGTTCTGCTCTAGGCAACTGGGGCCAGGCTGCCTCGCTCATCAGGTCCTTGTCTCCACAGTTCTCTCAAGAATTCCAGGCACTGAATCCCATGAAGCAGGTGCCAACCCTGAAGATCGATGGCATCACCATAAGTCAGTCTGTGAGTGCAGGGCCTGGAGGTCCCTGGCGAGAGCCGCGCCCTTTGAATAAGAGGCCCTCCCAGCTCTGGTTTGCGTGGCCAAGCTCCTAGCCCTTAGCAGGGACACGATAAGTTCTTGTCAGAGGGAGGAAGGTTGCCTGGTTGTTCAGGGAAGTGAAGGGAGACGAGCCTATGGGGAGACAAGTTCTGCAGGATGAGGGTCCAAAAAGAGCTCCTTCCTGGGGAATTTGGGCTTCACGGGCTCCAGCTGAGGTCAAGGAGGAGCTTGCTGGCCCTGTCACTCTGGTCCAGGGTCCGCGTGCCCTCCCCATGCCTCACTGCTCCCCTCCAAACAGCTGGCCATCATCGAGTTCCTGGAGGAAACTCGGCCAACTCCACGCCTCCTGCCACAAGACCCGAAGAAGAGGGCCCAGGTTCGCATGATTTCGGACACCATCGCCAGTGGCATCCAGCCCCTGCAGGTGCGGCTCTGGACTGCACCCCTGCACGCCTCTTGCATGCCTCCCCTCACGCACTTTTACCTTTAGACACATGCCGATTGTGAGGTGCCACGGTGGGGCACCCAGCTTGGGAGTGGGGGTGGCAGGAGGTCGGGAGGGATTCTCAGGGGCGCAGATCTAGCTCATATGGCAGAGGGGCACGGGATCCCAGAAATCAGCTGCCATGCTAGGTTCCCAGCTACATTCTGAGAAGTCCCAGGTTTCCCCTGGACTCATCCGGGGGTGCTCGAGGAGGGGGAGGGGCCATGTGGCAGGGGTGAGGCTGAGCAGCACAGGCTCTGGGCCACCCCCCCATTCCCCGCCTTTAACCAGAAGAGCCTCCCTCTCATCTCTTCTGTATTCTAGATTGGGAGTCTCAAAAGATTTTATTTTTTAACGTTTTCAGTGGTAAAAAAGATAAACAAGTATTCAAGCAGTTCATCTGTTTTAACTCCTGACTTTGCAAATCAGGAGATGGCCCCAGAAAGGTGGAGAGTTTGCAGAGTCATTCAACTAAGTGTGGCAGAGCAAGCCCCAGCTCCCAGGACCCCAGACCGTGCACCAAACTTTCATCCCCGAGTTACCTTGTCTTGTTTAACAAAGGACGTTGGGGCAGACAGACGCCCGTTCTACAGATGAGGAAGCTGAAGTTCAAGTAAAATGGCTCCAGGGCTGCAAGGATGGAACCAGAGCCCAGATCTCCTGCAAGCCAGTCCTGTGCTCCTTTGTCCCAGCCCCGCCCCCATGCCGCACCCTGCTCCCCTCACAAGGAGCCGTGTAAGGGAGATGCTTTGTGTGCCGAGGAGATGGGCCTCAGGTCATGGCCACACACTCAGTGCCACGGCAGCACCCTGTGCCCCCACCTTGCACGTCTCTGCCAGGGCCACAAGCTGCCAGACCACAGGAGCCACTCGAGCAACCTGAGAAGGCAGCTGCTGGGATCCCTCGCTCCCTCCCAGTGCCCCAGTAGGGAGAAGGGGCTCATGGAGCCCAGGAGAGGACAGGCGGAGAGCCAGGGGCGGGTGGGAACGAAGCTGCCCTGACGGACTTGGCTGGGGGTCAGGCCCAGCCTGGCTTCTAAAGCCAATCACCGATTATCCTTGGTTACATAGAACCTGTCTATCCTAAAGCAAGTGGGACAGGAGAACCAGCTGACCTGGGCCCAGAAGGTCATCCACACTGGCTTTAACGGTGAGTCCTTCCTCCTGCAAGCCGCCCTATGACCACTCCAAAATGGCCCCTGTGCCTAGGGCCCAGGGCATCTGACACAGCCTCCCCGACTCTTTGCCCTTGACAATGGCATGGCTGAGGGGAGGGGTGCGGGGCTGAGGAGGTAGTAGGGCTGGGTGTTATCCAGACCTGGCCTCCATCTTGGGCACTTCTGGGAACCTCAGCCACTGAGACCCACAACCCCTTGGAGCTGGCGGTCCACGCTCTGCCTCACTGCCCGCTCCAGCCAGATGAAGGCCAGCAACATGCCGGCACGTCCGTGTGAGAGCTGCCCCCTTGGCCAGTGGCCGGCCTTGTCCCTTCTCGGGGAGGGAATGGCAGCTGGACTTGAGGAGCCCAGGGAAACATTATCTGTCCCCACGTCCCCATGAACTCTGTCCAGATCTGGTTGGCCTATTCCTTCGGTCACGGGCCCCAGCCAGTCCCTCAGAGAGCTGCCCATTTCAAAACTCTGGGGGGCCCAAGGTCCATTCTGTGCCCAGAGTAAGATTCTTCACATGTCCTCCCCACAGCTCTGGAGCAGATCCTGCGGAGCACAGCGGGGAAGTACTGTGTGGGAGATGAGGTAAGCCCTCCCCAGGCCTTCCCGCAGCAGCCGTCTCTCTCCACCCCCAGGGTGGGTGCGGCCGGAGAGCTTCCTGAGGAGGCGTGGGGGGGTGCGGAGAGGGACCAAGATCCGAATTCTGGTTCCAGGGCCCCCTCCCCCATCCTGAGGTGTCTCCTCCCTGCTAGGAGCCCTCCGTAAGTGCCCTGATGGGAGCTTTTAACAAGCACGAGAAGATCCACTGAGACAATCCAAGCTTCTCTGGCCACCCACAGACTTGGCTGTCAGGACAGCTGGAGCCTGGCCTGGGAGAAGCATGGCAGCTCTAGGCACAGACCCAGACAGGCCCGTGAGGGGAAGGAGAGAGAGTTGGGGCTGTGGGGATGGGGCAGAAGAGCCAGAAGCAGACAGGAATGTCAGGGGCTGTGAGTCCAGGCCGTGCATCCTGACGCAACCCCCCCAACCCTCTTGCAGGTGTCCATGGCTGATCTCTGCTTAGTGCCTCAGGTGGCAAACGCTGAAAGGTAAGAGAGAGCCCCGCCTGCCTCCCTCTTTCACCTGGTCCCTGCCCTCCAAATGTCCCGCCTCCTCTCACAGTAAGGCCCCAACTACAGCTACTGGGGAAGCCTCTAACGCAGAGACTCTCCTAGACTGGCCAAGGAGCCCCCTGTGCTGGGCCTTCCCAGCTCCTGTGGCCTGGAAGAGCCCGGTGGAAGAAATCAGTGCAGTGTCCCCCCACCATGCCCACCACCGTCCCTCCGATCCTGTCTAGCCTCTGCTCCTAAGAGGCGGTGGCTTGCCCAGTAGACACCCCTAGAAGAAGCCACCCCAGGAGCCTGCTCCCCCCAAGGTGCCATGTCCCTACCTGGCAGGGAGCTCTCTTCTGCTCGTCCCATCAGCCCTTCAGTGAGGCAGGAGAGAGTACCTCCCTGGAAGGCGTCCAGAAGAGTGCCTCTCCGTTTGGGACATGGTGATGTTCCTACCCACGAAGTGCCCCTGAGAAGCTTCTGACATGGGTGGGGCGGTTATCTGTGCATGTAAATTATGAGCACTGTGCTCTACACATAGTAGGTTCTCGGTGAATAGCCATTGCTTGGAATAGGAACAGTAGCGATAGGGATGCTTGACGGTCCTGCATGAGACCCGCCCATCCCCAGAGCCACCTGTGAATAAGACTCCCATGTGGCCGGGCAACTACCTGGTCCTCAGGTGGTCAGACCCTGGGGCCTCATCCAGCCGCCCCTGTGCCTCCCTCTCTGCTCCAAGGACAGTCTCCCTATGCCCTGGCAGACCCAGTGTGAAGATGGTGTTAGACAGGTGTTTCTCTGCCACAGGTTCAAGGTGGATCTCACTCCCTATCCGACCATCAGCCGCATCAACAAGACACTGCTGGCTTTGGAGGCTTTCCAGGTGTCTCACCCCTGCCGGCAGCCAGACACACCCCCTGAGCTGAGGGCCTAGCTCTCCCAACTGTGCCCCATGGGTGAGGGGGCAGGAGAGGTGCAGGAGCAGAAGCCGGGGTTGCTGAACAGACCTGGAAACAAGTGAGCCCTAAATGGAGAAGCAGGAGACCTGAACTTGAACTTGGACTCTAGCCCTGGATCCGCCTTTCCACTGTACCTCTTTGCACCTCAGTTCCCTCCTCTGTCCAGTGCAGGTAGCGCGGGGGAGAGCATGCTGGGAGGGAGGGAGGTAGGAACATCACCAGTCATCTGCATCATGGGCAATCGTGAAGGTGAGGGGAGAAAGTAGCCTAAGATGCTTGGCGGATGCGCCAGAGAGACGTAAGGGAGCCTGCGTGCTTCTTCCCATCCCCACAGCTGTACCTGACTCCAGAGAATGCCCACTCTGAAATTTGATGATTAAACGGAAGCCCAGGCCTCCAGATTATTCAGTTAAGGCTGAGCTACATTCCAGAAGGTGAACATTCTTCCTGGCTGGAAGCCCCCGGCATTTGGGCCAGGAGAGAAAGAAATCCAAAAGCCTGCCAGAGAGAATCAGACCAGATCCAGAAGAGAACAGATAGAAGCAGCAGGAAAGAAAGCATTCTGTGACCAGCTGAGTTCCCAGGGCTAGAATAGTACCAGTAAGTGGTCCACTGGGGCATGGAGTGGGAAGCGGGGCCTCTCAACCCAGTCCCAGACCGTCAGGAGTCCCAGCATTCTCCAGACCAGTCCCGGAAGTGGGCACTTGGAATAAATCGTCATGCAGTGTCCTGGGAATCGGAGGCAGGCTCCTCCTTGGGCAGCGTGACCCGCCACCACCCAGGCAGGCTCCAGACCCCACCCAGCTAGCAGCTTACCGTGAGGTCCCTTCTGGAAGTGGAACAAGATGACTTTTATGTCCTGTACCTGGGACTTCATTTCCCCTGCATGGCTAAGGCTTGAACAGTGAATTCAGGTAGATGTGTCCGGTTCAGAAGGAAGCCACCACTCTCAGCCACGAGTCCCTTTTCTTCAGCCTGCATCTCAGGGCACCTAGTTTCTCCCATTCTCCCGGGTTCCTTTGTGACCTTTCTTTCCTGAACCTGGTTTCCGGGCTTTAGAATGACCCAAATGGGCCACTCTTGTTCCCGACATGCATTGGTTCTGGCCAATGATGAGCCAGAAAAAAAGTCCAGCACGGTACGTGAGACACCACAATGACAAAGGGAGACTCGGTGGCTCCACTGGCCCTGCCACCATCTTTCCCTCAGCTTACTCCAGACTTGCCCCACTGGGCAAAGCTCCCACATGGGCTTTTTCCAGGAAACTTCGATTCAAGAGACTAATCTCCTCAGCCCAGGGGTCAGGATTTGCACCTGATTTGGACATTTGCAACTGAAGGGGATTAAAGGCCCCATAGGTTTTAAAGACACCAGCTTTGCAGTGACCCCCGGTGGTAACTTCCCCACCTGGGAGCTGGGACATGTGACCTTGTGACTGGGAATGTGGCCCACAGGGCCCTTGCTCTTCTTGAACTCCTGTCCCTCACTTACCCTGGGAAATTTACTTGGCTACGAGGAACTCAGTGTGGTTAGTCTGTCTCCTGTCTGCTTGTCTGTCTTGATCCAAAATACCTTCCGAGAGCTGCCATATTTCAGCCCCAGGTCTCCTCCTGAACACTATCAGAGTATTAACTCGTTTAACCTGGGACTCTATCAACCATCCTAAAATTGGTGGCAAAAGCCTAATGGATTGTAAGGAATTCTAAGTCAGGTAAAGAGGTGATACAGCCTCTGTTGTCAAAACACTAAAGAAACCATCCCTCATCTGTGGCACAAAACTCCCTTTATAATTTTCCTCAACATTCCCATAGTTCTGGTCCTCTAGCCCAGCAGGACTTCTCTGGTGTATGTCAGATAGAAACTGAGAATCAGTTGTGGGTGGATGGAAGGAGGAGAGAACAAATGTGGGGTTTCCTCCGGGCTCAGCAGAGATCCTTGGAGTCCCATTTCTGAGGCTCCCCTTTCTAGCTGCCTTACCCCAGACCCCTCCACCCTCAAACTCAAGACAAACCTGACCTTGCCCCACAAAAAGAGAAATGTGTCCAAGCCAGAGAAACTCATCCCAGGCTCCTCTGAGGTGACGCACCTGGAAAGTGCTGGGTTTCTGCGGGCATCCCACAAGGATTATCCGCACCACTCAGAGGAAGTGACTGAACTTCTGTGACTCTCGGCTGCACTGGCTTTAGGAGGACAGTGGTCCATCCATCTTTTTCTCTCATGATGTTTTCGTAAAGGAGATTTTTGTCTGTTGAAGCCAGAGCCTAAACCTCGGGAGCCTTCCACACAGCTGGCAGCACCACAGGCTGGTGTCAGGACCAGGGCTGGGGTCCACCCTTGCCACCTTCTTCACCCCAACCTAAGGAGAGTGTCTGTGCTCTCCAGGGCCTATGACGACTCTGAGTGTCTCCCGTGGGCTTCAGGGGACCGGGCCTGTGAGGAAGCGATGGGAATTGTGGGCCTGCAAGACAAGGCAGGCCTGGGGAGCCACCAACTCAGGGTGAACTGAGGGGTGGAAAAGGAACGTGGGGACAGAGGTGTTGGGATGTGCAGAGGCTCTGGCCTTGCTGAAGGAGCACAGCTTATGAGAAAGGAGAGTGGTCTGGTTTCGGGGCTTGTGTTTTTGAGTCAGAGTGAGGCTGTCACTCTGTGTGACAGCCTAATGGATTATAAGGGCCCTCTGTGGAGTCCGGGACACCAGCATGGTCAGCTGACCTGTCGTTGAGGGATGTGGAGACCGGAGACTTTGCCGGCTTCAGCCCTCCGCACTGGGAACCCTTCTCCGGGGACCTGTGGCTGGGTGCATGGGAGACAGAAGCCTCTTTATTCCCAGAGGAACTCAGCCGTGCTCCAGGGAATGAGAGAATGCTGCATTTTTAAACCATCTTCCCTGCATGACAGCAGAGCTCCCTTGAGCTCCTCTAGGGCTGCACTCCTGACCCGCGCCCCCCCCCCCATGCCAAGCAGGGTGACTAGCCTTGCTCCCTCAGTGCTTGTTTGATGGAAACCTGTCTTTCCTGTACAGCCATGGCTGGCGACCCCCTCTCTTCCTGGAATGTCTCTCCTCTTTGGGGGCCTTAGAAGATCATGAAGGAGCAAAGATTTCCGTATGGCTCCGAGGCTTAGCAATAATGAGGCTTCTCTAAAGGGCTTTGAAAACCAGCTCTTCTGTGACTTCCTCACATCTGCAACTAAGTGCTTGTTTTCAGGGGTCAGATGTATCTCTCAATTCAAAACTGTCACCTACTTAGGGGATATTTTCCAGTAGGAGCTCCTCTCTACAGGCTGAGTGGGTGGTAAAAGTCAAGTCCTTCATTTCCACCTTAGTTGTGGGGCCTGTGGAGAACAACGGGCAGATCCCTGACTCCGGCTGGTCAGAGGCCCCAGGGAGACCTGACCTGCAGCCACGGGGACAGAGGCCACGGGATGATGGGCAGATGCGGGAGTGGCCTGCTACTGCTTTCCCCTCTACAGAAGTAGGAAGTCCTGGCAAATGCTTTAGAAGGATGAAAACCGGAAGGAGGAGCTGCCAGGAAATACTTGAGGACAAAGAAAAATATACAGGATTTTTTGTTCCAAAGCAAAATACGTATCCATTAAGGAGAGTAGTGAGCTCACTGAACACACTGGTGAACACACACGCTCATAAGGACTCATTATATAGGCTCCTCCGAACTTTTCAACATGACTTAATTAGTTCTCCATTCCAGAATGCCCAGCAGGCATCATTCCACTTCGGGAGAATATGGGAACTAACATGGCTGCTGAGTTTAGCCGAAACCTCATGGGTTAAAGCACATCAGATTGAATCCAATCCCGAGCTATGTCAGGGTCCATGAAATGACAGGAGTGCCCTTCTTTTTTTTTTTTTTTAAGATTTTATTTATTTATTTGAGAGAGAAAACAGGGGGAGGGGCAGAGGGAAAGGGAGAGACAGAGAATCTCAAGCAGCCTCTGAGCTCAGCCCAGACCCGAAGCAGGACTCAGTCTCACGGCCCTGAGATCAGGACCTGAACCAAAATCAAGAGTTGGACGCTTAAAGACTGAGCCACCCAGGTGCCCTGAGAGTAGTACCTTTAAAAGTTAAAAAATAACCTTCAATATGGGGCATCAGGCTGGCTCAGTCAGTGAAGTGTGTAACTCTTGATCTTGGGGTTGTGAGTTCAAGCCCCATGCTGGGTGTAGAGAGTACTTAAAATCTTTAAAAATAAATAACTTTCAGGGGCACCTGGGTGGCTCAGTGGGTTAGAGCCTCTGCCTTCAGCTCAGGTCATGATCCCAGAGTCCTGGGATCAAGCCCCACATCAGGCTCTCTGCTCAGCAGGGAGCCTGCTTCCTCCTTTCTCTCTCTGCCTGCTTCTCTGCCTACTTGTGATCTCCGTCTGTCAAATAAATAAATAAATAAAATCTTTAATAAATAAATAAATAACTTTCAGCATGTTATGTGTTAGCGGAGACATATTACATTCAGCACACCCAAACATAACTCATGAAGACCCCTAGCTCCATGTAGTCTGGAGCTTTCTACTGGTTGTGCTATAGTATGGTAGGCAGATTATATTCATTTAATTCATAATTATTTCCAATCTCTTCCTCCTTTATACATCAGCCTCTGAACTATGTTGCAAGGGAAGGCAGAGAAAGATCTAACAGGCTTGGGGTAGAAGCACACATACAACTGAAGAGAAGATTTCAATGGTACCCTTCCTGGTCAGATTAGGAGATTTTCTCATTTTGTAATAAACCCAAGTGATGTGCACAGGCAACATTTTAAGAGATGTCTAAGACATCTTAGGGTGTTATTTCTGAAATGAAAATAATATCACCCAGACTGTGTTCATGATTAACCTGGTGTCCACTATACTAGTTCCAAACTTGAACACAGAAAGTTAATTGGAAAATGAACATCACTGGAAACCAGACACCAATTAAACACTATAATGTTCCATTTACCAATCATTGCTCTAAACCCACTTTTTCTGCCACTGGGCCAAACTTAGTTCCCAGTATGTAGTACTCTGCCATGAATGTAAACACAGTTGAAAGATCAGTCATTAATCTCATTCTCAGTTTTTTTCTTAATTGTTAATTTTTCTTGAATTTTTATACATTATCTATATTGTAATCAATAGATTACAGAATAATTCATATAGATTTATAGAATATCTTTCCTCTAGGAAAAATACAGAGATGAATAAAAAATGTAAAATGCAAATCAGGCTCATTAAGATAGAACTCAAATGTTTCAGGTGCATAGTGAAAAAGTTTATTTAGGACAGATTTCAAAACTTGGAAGAGAAGACAAAGAAATGCACAAAAGCATCACAAATCTGTTACATAATATAAAAACACAAGAACTGAGCTATTTAAGGAACCATAGCCCAGGAATCATCTGTGTATCACAGCAACACACTCAAAGCCACAGGGTGGTAAGAGAAGGTATTTTAAAGGAAAAACCACTCAGCAGGACAAAACGACTGAATGACAATTTGGTACAGAGCTCTTAGAAATCATAGGAAATGTTGACAGCATTTCTCAGGGGACACGTAAAATAAGATGACTGCAATAAAGGACTTGTTGGGTTATTTTTGTACTTAAAAGATGGTGATACTGTGTCCCTTCCAGACCCCTTTCTGTATGTAACATCAGTGCCAATGCATGATAAGAGAATAAGTAGGAAAGAATGCCTTTGTAGTTGCCAATTCCCTAAAAATTTGCCAAGAAGGCATAATCATCTTTCAAACAACTGACAGATCTCAGTGCATGGCACCAAAGCAGGCCTTTCAGAAATACCAGCTAAATGGCATAAAGTGGTTTAGGAATCTGCAAGCACCTCCCTCTATTCCAAGTATCCTTACCCAAAGTCTGGCTTTCTTATAATCTATCACTTTGATTACAAAGCAACTTTCTTCTGAGAATTTCCAAAACGATTCCCATCACTAAGGGCAAATGGGTACACCAGAGTCATGGGTTACAGGACTGCCTTCTCTAAACTTCACTTGCTCTTGAATATGGCTACCTGGAAAGAAATTCAACTTGATTAAATAAAAACAACTTCACTTATGGGACAATAATCTCAGAAAGGGATGTCCGTTGGGTTCTTAATATGGAATTTCTTAGTAAAATGTACTAATTAAGACATGAGGGAAGAAATTAAAATAATGTTTTCCATACGACTCTTGGCCTGAACCTAAGAATCAACAACAGTAACAAGGAACGTTTTAGACAGAGAGATATCAAACCTGAGTGAAGAAGTGAGTTCAGGAAGAGAACTCCTAAAGCTGACTGTTAGCTAAGGGTTCTTCTGGAACCCTATATACTAGACTATTCCAAACCTAAACTCTAGACTTGTTCATGACCCTCTATCAGAACTTTTGGAAAATGCACTTTGTCCCCTGAAAGTCATTTCACATATATTATTTGACCCTTATATGCACTCTGTACTTAAAAGGACAGAAAACTATGGCATTTAATAAAGCCTATATATCTAGATTTCTGGGACACCTTCTCCTCAAGTCTCAGTGTAAAGAAGAGCCATGAAATTAACTCTGGTCCACATGCCTGGGGCCTAAAAAAAATCAAAGTCCATATAATGGTAAATTAGATCATGGGTTCAAACCATTGACCAGGACCACAAATAATTTCAAAGCTAGCATCTTACTTTTGCACTTGGTTTTTGTGGGGGAATGACTATTTGTAAATGAACCCCATCACAAGGTGTTGGGCAAGTGGGTTTTCTTAGCTTAATGACAAGAGATTCAAACAGCAGGGGCTTTGTGTGGCCTTTGTGGTTCAGGCAGAGGCAACACTTCAAAGGGAGTGGTGATTTCTGAAATCTGGCCACACGATACTTACCAAAGTTTTCTTTCACCCTTTGGGTCCCAAATCCTGCCCTAATCTCAGAATCTAAATAAGTGGGTAGACGTCAAAGGAGTGCTCACAGGTGCTGGATGGGTTGGATCAAAAGGGTGACACTGACCATGACCAGGTACCCACTGAGCCAAAGCGGTGTTTTTCTGGGTGCCTCCCCCTTTTCCAGGAAAGCGGCTACCACGAACCAACTCCCAGAGGGTTCTTCTACTTCTGAGAACACCGAGGAGCTACAAACTCACATTATAATCACCTTTACAGCCAGGGACAGACCATCATTCCCACAAATGGAGGGCTTGTTCTATCTGTTACTCAACTCAAATACTTTGTCTTCATCAGTATTTCACTGACACAGCTTCTTCATTCACTTGGTAAGGTTCACAAGAGTTCCAACGGATGGCTGGACAGTCCTACACAAGTCACCCAGCTATCCCAATATGGGACTATAGTCATAATTTCTCCCCAGTCCTACTTCTAACCGAAACTGATTGACTTACCCCTCAACAAACACTGTTATTTAATTCTGGTTAATCAGGTAAACAGAGGCCTTAGATACCACGCTGCCAATGCTAAACAATATGGTAAATAATCAAGATATCAGAGAGAAATGGAGGGAGCCTAGTCCCTTTTTATCTCTCAGTTGTATGGAAATGAGAGCCCAGGGATAGGATTCCATGCCCTTGAAGACTGGGACTTTGGCCATAAAGATACTCACCACAGACAGGGTTGCTGGAAAGCACTTGGCTTGTGATTGGTTTTAGACACCCATTCCCTAATGAGTTCCCAAAGGAATGGCTCCCCAAGCACAACCCAACCCCCACTGAATATGATCACTTGCTCTCCAAAGAGCATAAACCCCTGAACGTGCTACTGCTACTGCTCACAGTAAAAAATGAAATTGCCTTCCTTCAGACAGAAACTCACCTTCCAACTCTTTTCAACCACTGCGATTCTATAGGGATGGTGCTCTTTCCTTTTCCAGGAAATTCAGGTTCTCAGGAGCTCTATACAATTTAAGCCAGGTGGAAAGAGACTAGTTCAGGAGGCTGATGTGGACTTTTTAGGGTCAGGAGAAATTCTAAATGGAAGCTCTCAGAAGGGAGAACAAACGATTCCATTTACTGCCGTGTATATGACCATCCCACAAAGATTACAGAAGATGTTGAGTCCTACACTTCACAGGGGGGTCAGCCTAGAGGGGCACAGCTTGTGGCTTGAGGCCCTTCTGTGATTTTGGTCAAAATTAACCAATTTCACCCCTATCTTGGCCACAGTTAAAACCAGCTGGGGCTGCAGGGCCATAGCGGCTCCCCGTCCCAGCCTTGTGCTAGTCTCACCACCCTTTTCCACAGCACAAGACTCTCGGCCCCAGAGAATATGGCGATGAAATGCAGCCTCGGGTCAGGGGATTACACTTAGTAGAGGAGACCTACTCAAAAAGATTCCTAAGGTCGATCCTGTTGGAAGAGATAGCAAAGGGGGCTGGGGTTTCTCCAAGAAACACAATGAGAACCAGCAAGGCTTCCGGCTTAAAGAACAATTCCAACTCATAAAATACAGATTAAAGAACTAAACAAAATTAGGATATGAG